ACTGAGGATTGAGGACCTATTACAGCGCCCCCCGTAGGGTTTGATAACTTCACAGCAAATGTTTCTGTATCTTCTGGATTATCATCTTGTAAAACTACTGCTGTTGTTCTCATTGTGGTCTGATTCTCTTCAAATATTAACGTTATTTTTCTGAAAATTGATTAAAAATAAATAGATGAAAATTTGAAGGTACATGGCAGAGTTAATTTTGCTTCAGCTTTATGAATTATGAATTGCTTGCTACTATATAAACATGACAAATTTGAAAAAGCACTAAATATATAAATGCTGTTGAGATCAGTCAGTTAGTTTCTGAATCCGGAAATTTGTTATTTGCTCAGCAACTTGCTTAAGACCTAAGTAAGTTCATTGGAAACTTCAATCCATAATTTCTATATCATACCTTGGAACATAATCACTATCTTTAGTTATTCTGGACACTTCATAAACTGTGGCTTTCTGCTGTTGAATGACAGGTGTGCTAGCCAATAGAATCAACTGGGATGATATCTGATTGATTATTATTGGATAAAGATATTGGGAGGCGGATCCAGTCCATACACTAGAGAACTTTGTAGTCTCTGAATTCCAAATGAACATCTCTGAATTACCAATATCATTAGCGAATACCAAAAACACTGAAATAAAAGGTCAAATTTTAATAAATGGACTTTTGCACTGAATGAACAATGAACTAATGAACAGCACATGAAAGGCCCATGCCAATATACATTATCTACACTTTAAAGTATATAAGTCCATGATTATATGAAAATGAACATCAAAAGTACAAGTAAAAATCGTGACCTACCTGCACCATCAGAGGCTTGAAATGAAGATATTTTTTCAACTCGTCTTGTCTCTATATCTTGATGAAGTAAGAAAGTTTTAATGGATGAATCCCAGCGATAAACCTGAGAGATCTGGGGTGATGTTATCGTGTTCTGACGATTGTTTCCAATCACTAACAATTTCAATGAACCAACATCAATGAACACACCATCTACAGCACCTTCAGTTGATATTCTCTGATGTTCATAGAATCTCAAGTCAGTTGACATCTTCATTATTACAGATCTGAAACATTATTTATTAAGTGAGAAAATTAGATTTTACATCCTTGACAAAAGTTCAAAATGTCTAAAGATCTATTTCAGATATGATAAGTAAATATAATCAATGGTTGAAATTGCAGCCTAATAACAGTCCAGAGCTCAAGTCAGACATGACAAGTCAAAAGTTGGCTTACAACTAAATCACAAGCCTAGAGATTTTAAGACATAGCCTGCAAGTAAAATCCAATCCTATAGAATTACAAATTTAATCACTTCAAGGGTTTCAAGTAAGATATAACTTAATCAAGAACCCTAATACAAAATATATATATATCATATCATACCTTGTTTGATGAGAGTTTTGAGTACTGTCATAATAATTCGAGATAAATAAAAACAGATTTCCATCAATAATTTGAGTATCAGCTGATCTAGCGTATAATGAGGCTATAGCCTGTATAGGGTTGGCGTTAAATCGTAGATTAGTATTGTCCCAGATATACATATCTGTCGTTAATGTTGATGAACTACTATCATCTAGAGAGTTAGTAAACACCACTAACTTCTGACTGCTATACATAAAATATTCTACATCTGACGCTCCCTTCGTGTTAAATTGTTGAAGCTGGAAATTAGAAATTGAGAAAATAAACTATATACAAATACTGATTTTGAGTGTGCATTTTTGTGACAATAAATGTTTGTTTTAACATGAACTACAAATGAGAAACAAGAGGAAAGGAGTAGAATCTTCCATGCCAGCCAAATTCTTTTCTCTGCTTCTGAATGGGCTAATGCAAACAATTTCAATTTCTTGACTTTCACCAGACACATTTTCCATATGAGCTACCTACTGTATCTTAATATATTGCATGATTGAATCCTCGACTTAAAGGGAATCTAACAAGCACAAAATATGTGTCTTTACCGACAGTAACTTTCCATCATCTTGAATAATAAATAAAGAAGATTGAGTTTCTCTAGCTCCTTCCTTCCCACTGTTAGCTATTATAACATAACCTTTATCATTGTTTTCAAACCCTGTAGCAGCTGTAGCACCATTAGTAGGAATAGTCTGCAATATACAGTGAAATTACAATACAAACTTGTACTCAATATCAGTAAAGAAGAGTTTCTTAAAGGCATGATGAACTGAATCAAAGAGGCACCAACTCATGTGTGGTATATCAGAAATTCCAAATGGCATGTTAAACCCAATTCTAGACTGGTACCAGATATTTTTCAACAAGAAATACTGAAATTTGTAAGTTGGGTATCTATCCTTTCTCTTTTCATTCTGATATTCTTGGAAAGAACTATATGGCATCGTAGAGACAGGCACAATTTGGATATAAGATGCTAGTTTCCGTGAAAATTTCTTTTTATTAATTCTCACAAAAACTTTCCAGTGTAAACAAAAACATAAGCTCACCTGAAAGTAAATGAGTTCACCTTGCCAACGCCAGACGACAGATTGACCTGATTCAAACCCATTGGCTTCTGGTATCAGAGTTTTTAACTGTTGATCAGAGGTCAAAGAGGTCAACATCAAAACATACGTCACATTTTTATGTTGATAGCTGAACCAGCTTGATACATTCACTCCCATTAATTCTTGATAGTGAGCTACAGTTATCTCCCTTGGATCTGGAGAACTTGATGCTGTCTGAGGTTCTGTTTCCACATCAACTGTTACCCTTCCCAGCATTCCTCTGGTTCTCTTGATGTCAAAACTAATAAAACCCTTAGTGTTTTCTTCAACTGACAATGTTGAATCTCTGTAAAGGAGAAAATACATCAATTTGTAACATGGATTTCCATCAAAAGATTAATACATTCTGCATGAATCTTACAGAATTACTAGATTGTTGAACAATTACATCGTATAGTTTGAAATATCAAAGATAAGAAAATAATAAAATGCCTTGTCTTTCAAACAAACTCATCCATTAGTATTCCCCAGTTTGCATAGAATTGCCTCCCCAAGCTCATACAACCTAATACACCAAATCCCTTCTCTTCTGTGTCTGTGTATACTTACCCAGTGTTAGCAAGCGAGATTTCAAACAAGCCTTGTGGAGCATCATTAGCTTGTATAATCAATTTAATCTGTTTGATAGCACCCAGTGTAGCCAGATTATCAGGTTTTAATAATTCTATAGTAAATGTTTCACTCAATTCAGGAATGTTGTCTGGTAAGGCTGAGATTTCCAATATGGCTGTTGTCTGAAAAACATCACTTCAAATAACGTACATTTAAATTAACAATTACTGACATTGGTAGAAGAATTATTCTTCTGTTGAGGAAGATTTGATCTCATGGTATCTAATTCATCTTGTATTTTCAAATAATACTTGGACATTAGCAGCAGCTGGACAGCCATTTTCAAAAGATATTAAACCATATGTAATTCATGAAGATGAACTTGACCTCGCGACAATGACCATGAGGAAAATATTTTGTTTTTCTATGACGATGTTGAGATGCATTAATTTACCTGTTTATCTTGAAAAGTCAAGACTCCATTCATCACAGACAGGTCATCCTTGGTACCACCAGTCCCTGGGGTGATAACATAGGGTACCTTGACAACCCCAAATATACCAGGGCCCCTCACAACCCGGATCTCAGCTTTACTTCCACTAGAGTCATCTGCACTTGGTTCTACCAGAGTGACATCTGCTGCAGAGTCAAAACTTACAATACCAGTGGCTCCATCATTGGCCAGGATTGTGATGGTGGCTGAAACAATGAGAATATATATACATGATTGATACATAATTAATGTGAGGCAAGTCATGTTCTTAGCATCTTGGTCAGGTATTATTCGCATTGCGTTCACATAACTTATAACATTTCATTATGGCTTGTTAACCCTGTACCAGCAATGAACCGTTAACCAAATATGGTGCTGAAATGATCATTATTTGTCACATTATTTGATTCATAAGATCTACAAAAGCAGTGCATAACAAGGACCATTCAATAATACCATTCAATACTGAAAAACACCATTTCCAATATGAAGGATACCTACCAGTGCTAGATGTACCAATCTCTACTTTATTACCAGGATTAGTGAGAATAACTTCAAACTGTTCATCAGGTTCTGGTATATCATCATCTAATATTTCTATCAAGATATCTCGTGTTCTTTCTCCATTCAAAAATGTCAGTTTCTGAAATATTCAAACTTAACATCTAGAATTCTTATAATATAGATAAACATATCAAAATGATAGTTTTGGCAAAAAGGTCCTCCAAAAAAATAATGAAGACCTTTGGTGAAAACCAAAACTATTTGCCTATAACTCAATGTCACTGAAAGTTGTTATGGAGATTTTGTAAGGAAAGTCAAGCAAAGAAATTATATATCCATCAGAGTCAAAACATCAACACAACAAAGCCACTTTATTTTAAGTTAGTTAGTTTCAAATACTATCTATTTTATGTTATTGAAATATATTTTGTATCCGAGCTGGTTGTATAGAAATATCTTTGCTATAGATTGATGATATTTGTCATTCAGTCTTACCCTAGGTGTAACTCTGTAATCGGCCCCTAAAGTTGACCCCTCCTGGAAACTTTGTGACATATAGAATACTGATACATCCCCAAAGGTACCGGCCGTTCTCTGTACTGTTAGAGATATGTTATAAAGTCTTTCATCCACTTTTACACTGAAAAAAAAAGCATTAATCATTGGATGAATGATCAGGAATTTTTCAATTAGGCTTATGTTCGTTTTGGACATTGCTATCGTTTAAGTAATGACCACAAGTTGATTTTATCTTTCATATGATCTGTGTACCACTACTGTGAAATCAGGCTACACAAAACTAGTATTGCTATTTTATAATTCATATGACTATCAACAGATTATAGTACAATTAAAAGACTGTTTTGGATTTTTCCTTCAGTGGCCTACTGTAATATATAAATACTTACCTTCTGGAGTCTGAAGCAAACACAATAATTCCTTTAGCTCCATCATTGGCATTGATTATAACTTCAGCTTCTGTATTATTACTGGCTAAACGAGGGGGATCGGAATTTAACGACCCAACTAGAGCTACAGATAATAACTTTATTTTAAATACTTCATCTATTTCTGGTCTCTCATCATTTATAATGTCTACTACAATCTGGCCACTGGTGACTTTATCAGCAATGTCAATAAAACTGGTTGTCGAACGGAAGTCATCATTAACAGTGGCAGCACTTAATGCTGTATTACTTGAAGCTATGGACCCACTGAGAACTTCGTAGTTGACCCTCACCACACCTAGAATAGTTGAATATCATGGAGTGCAGTTTTACTTCACATTACCTATCACCTAATACAACATTGTACCATCATGATTAATGATATGGAGTTTGTAAGCCTTCTATCATTGTAGCCATATCATCTGATCATTGTAATGGTATTTTCGATAATGAATTTAAATCTGATGGGTACACAGATCACAATGGATGCGAGTCAGGGTCAATTTCAATGTCACTCATCTATTGCCACTCTAGTCTAGGATAACTAATCTGGAAGTAGGAGATTAGACTAACAATATTTTTGACTTGAACATAGTAAGTGAACTCACTGAATACAAGAAACATCAATACTGATGCTATAAACTTACCTATAGCTCCAAACTTTCTGTCAATATTGATTCGAACCTGTCCAATATCTTCTTCAATTCTAACAGTTAATGATGCAGACGCTATTTGTATTATACCATGGGGGTTATCACTACCTTGTATGGTGATTAAAGCTGTTTTAAACTGAGGATCTATTGACGCTGCTCCTGTCTTACCAACACCTATAAAAATAACACTGAATCGATATATGAAACAAAAACATAACATGACACACATAAAAGCAGAGTGGTAGGTGGGTGTGAGAGACTCAACTACCAAAACAACCAATTGATCCAGATTCTTCTACAAACTATCGTGACTACTACCTAGTTTAAAATATCAGCATCTTCTGGAATCAGATGTTAACTGCTTCTTTGTAATCTACCAACTAATCTACCAAGGTGTGATAGAGTGCACTTTCATTACGATTTTCTTTTCAAACGACAATCTACACTACTTTAATTCCTAATACAAAACAAATCTGGATCAAACTTAAAAAATGCTCCACTAAGATCCTAATCTTTAGGATACACTTACCATACAGAAAATAATCAACCAGACTAGAATGATGAACTAAAATGCCAACTGAACATATCTTAAACAACTGTCCTACCTTGTGTTTGAACACTAATTAACTGTAGTTCATATTCTTCATTAATTTCTGGTGTTTCATCCTTTAATACTTCTAGTTCTAGTCTCTTTGCTGTTTCACCCTGGATGAAAATAAAGATGTCAGAAAATTCATATATTGATAGGAAAAAAGGTATCATATATCAAGAAAACTACGTTTCATGCAAATCTAAAATAGGGTCATGCTCAAAATGAGAAAGGGGAAAGAAAATATACGTCCACAAGTAGAAAAAAGCTGTATATGTAATTGAACTTACAGGTTGAAATATAAGAGAACCAAACGATGTTTTAAATCCAAGATCAGGTTTTAGGCCTCCCTTTCCTTTAATAGACCAATCCACCTTGACTGTACCATGAGCTGGTGGAGTTCGTGTTACATTCACTGGTAATTTATCACCTACAAATATCATTCAAGAACATGAGAAGACAACAACTCTCTAAAATTAGTGTTCCTAACTAAATACTCTTTTTAAAGTTTTTTATTGGTTAGTCAGCTAGTAAAGCATTCCTGTCCAAAAGGCTAACTAAATGTATGCCAAGTAAGTAAATCTAATACAAACCTTCAGAAGCTAGTACAGAAGTAGACTCTAAAGCCAGTAGACCTGCGACATAGTCATTCTCTAATATAACTATTGATATATTGGTCTCGGTACCGAGTTCTGCTACACCGTCTACGTTAGTTAGATAAATCATAAACTCCTCTCGGTCTTCTGGTATAGTATCATCTAATATAGTTACTGTTATTACTGAAAATAGAGTATAAAATTCAAGACTATGTCTATTTGATTTGTTATTGTGTTGCTAGTTATTACTGAAAAGTCATGAAAAGTTCATTCAAACTTTTTTTTTAAATTTGATTGACTCATATTCCTATATTATACTCATACATGTGTAATCTACCGATGTTGTCAGGTTTCTACCGCTTTGGGATGTTGTCTACCGCTCTACCGACAGGATACCCGATTCTACCGATTTTTGGGTTTTTTTCCTAATCAAATTTTCACGGGATCTACCGTTTTCAATGCTCAAATTCACTACTATAAATCAACAAAATATCTATCATTACTTGTATCTTGATTGTCGGTAACATGCGTTAATCTCATCATGTAATAATATTATCATTGCCTAATTAATTAATCCCCCAATTAAGATGGTAATTTGATCTATTTTCACCCGATAATGTGTATTTTAAGCCCACGTGACACACTTTTTATAACAACATCCGGTAGATTCTACTTTCACTTTAATAATAAATTCCTATTTCATCATATTCAATCATATATAAATTAACTAATTATCAATCATATATAAATTAACTAATTATCAATCATATATAAATTAACTAATCATATCTAAATCTCAATAATGGATCATTAGAACTTCAATTCTAAATCCATAGTTGCCTTTCTGAAACACTTTGCATAATTATAAAGAGTAAAAAACCTGTTCATCAATCTTTTTTCATATTTATATAATAATTTGTTAAAATATTTGTTATAAAACTTTATGTTAAGTTTCAATACTTATAGAATCTTACCTCTACGAGTAACTCCATTAGCGAAACTAAGTATAGCCCCGTCCGCAATATAATCTTTACCATAGGTGGCGTTACCAGTATCTACTGACCATTGTATGTTTACATCACCAATATTACCACCTACAACAATATAAGTACAGCATTGCTAGTATTATGAAATACATATCAGCATTAATTAGTGTACAGGTCAGGAAATAAAACGTGTGTAAATGGATGAAGTTCATGCTCCAAATTGCTTCTTTTCTTTTATTTTTTAATTAAGCCTTTAGCTATCATATGCATCTGATCAATTTTCTAATAAAGTTTCTACCCACCTTGTCTTTCAACAACCAAATCTACAGCATATTTATCAATTTCCTCTACTTCCACAGTTCGACCAAGACTAGCAGGAGTTCCATAGATATTAAACACTCCATTAGCATTATCATTAGACTCAATCACCACCAGGGCTGACTTGATCTCGCCTAACTTGGGATCCTCCTTCGTTTTGAACTTTTCGTCAGCTACTTCGACTTTAGTCAGCTTCAGTTCAAATTTCTCGTCCAATTCTGGCAAGTTGTCATTAATGATACTCAAATTTATTGCCCCTGATGTTTCACCGTCTCCAATGATGATGGAATTTTCTGTGACCAGTCCAAAGTCCACATCTGCTCTGGCTTTTGCTGCTTGTAGCATTTCATACTGAAAATTCGATAAAAATAATCCATGCAGGCTTAATGTGCACTAAATTATATTTCACAAAATGTTTAAAATCAAATTCTTCTTACATCTGAAATAAGTTCAGAAAAACAAATTTCAATCTACCAGTACTTATATTTTCTCTTTACCTATTGAGATTAAAATACTGACAAAAATTTGAATTCAAATGTCGGTCTTGAATTACCAAAGTCTAATGTGATAATATTGCCTTTAATAATTCAAAAACAGCCTTACCCTCTCACTGTTTTTATCATAAATAGTAGAATCAGAATCCGGTATTATAGTCAATTTATTGGTTTCAGTTGTAAACCAGTGACAGGTAGAGTTACTTGCCCTTGAAAACTGGAAACTTAAACATGCTTCAATACTTAAACAGACAGAGGCACAGGACTGAAATATAAATAATTTTCATTTTAAAAAACACTGCTAGTGGGCATAATTTCTGACAATCATTCACTTCATTGAGCGTACATTAAAGGGTATCACAAAGACTGATGACAACCTTCTTGTTTGTCTCTATCTGACAGTTGACAGTCTTAACTGGTTAATTCAACATCAAATCACTCTTTTGATTGTTCCTTAGAGTTAGGTGGGTGCCTTTCAAGACATGAGTTTCCAAGACGGATCAATTTCCATGAATTTCAGAGAAATATTTTCTAATAATAAGGGAAAGATAACTCACCAGTAGAGAATCAGTTGAGGAAGTGATATTAACTTGATTTCCTGTATCAGCACGTTTACCACTAGTACCACTGTCATAGTAACCAATCACAGCCTCGCCACGTCGTATAGCCTCGGATACCAGATCTATTTCACTAACTGTGTAGAAGACTTTTAGACTGCCGTATGTACCTCCACTGAAATAAACAGTCATAACATCAATAAGTACCACTTTATAGTATATATTAAACATCATTCAGCAAATCTCAGTAGTTTCAGTAAAGCATTTAATAATGATTTGTCAAGTGATACCAGAATGGCAATTAATTTAGTCCATAACTTTAGAGCCTTTGGTGAATAATTCCGACACTTAGGCATTTAATGCTATTAAGTTTACTATAAGATAAGCAATGATGCATGAATATGGATGTAGATAAGTTAATAGTAGTGATAAATTATCAGAAGTATGAAACAGTTATATTTGATGCATTACACTGTCATTTTTGTGTATTATTAGCCTTACCTTCTTTGAACACGAACAACCTCATCTGTTTTCTCTTTAACTCTATATTCATTGGTATATAGCTGTATAAAACCATGAGGATTATCATTTGGAGCTATTGTCAGGGTGAATGTATTCTGTGTGTCTATTCTTCCTTCAGCTGACTTTAACTTGATACTTAATCTTATATCCTATAATCATAAATAGCTATCATATCACATTTAAACAAAGGGTCATCTGCGTGCCAAAATTGTATGTAAAGCTGACCATGAGAACACCAAGAAAGTATAATTAACATAACATATACTCAATATTCTAAAACAGATGTCCTTCAGATATTTTCAAAAACCATTTTAGTGGACAATTTGACTTCTTTTGGAATTTATGGAACTATAAAGATAGTGCAATATGTTTCAAAATATCACAGATTAAAAAAAAATAAGTTGAAAAACTTCATGTTTCTTTAAGGAGGGAAAATAATAAATGATAAAAGCAAGCCTACCTCTTGTCCTTCAGGTATATCATCTGGTAGAATTTGTAGAGATATTTTCAAATTAGATTCTCCACTAACAAATCGTAATGTTCCTGATGAAGGTTGTATATCCTGTACGGCTTCTTCACCATTCAGGTCTGACATCCATTCTAAATTAACAATGCCCATACTACCACCCAGTCGTTCAACCCGTATATCTATAGTATAGGCTATACCATTCTCTGGTTCCTCTACACTCTGACTGGGCATTGCAAATCCTGGAAAATATAAAAATGGGAGTACAAAACATGAGTAGAAATAGATAAACCTTTGGTAGGTTAATGGACAGATTGGCACAAACCCAATACAAGTCTTTTGGAAATCCTAAATGTAGAAAAGTACTGTTAAATTTAATGCCAGGCCAACTCAAGATATTGTGATAACCTCCAAAAAGAAACTCTATAAAGCTAAACTTAATAAATCTTCAAATTATCATACGATAGCAGCATACCATTCTGATAATAACTTGTCAAAAACATTATCTAAAAAGGTTTTTTAAAGTAAAGTAAACCACAAATGGGTTCCACATTTAAGTTTTGGATAAAACTAAAACTTACTAAATAAGCCGTAAGGATCATCTGATGGTAGTATGTTGACAACAGCCTGTTTATTAGTTCCTAGCGTGGCACCACCAGAACTTACAGAAATTAACTCAACAGTAAATGATTCCATCAGTTCTGGAATTCTGTCATCCAATATTTCAATGGGTAACTTCTTACTGGCTTCACCAGAATTCAGGATCACTTCAGTTCGTAGGACTTCATAGTCTACTTTCGAGGTAGCTGAATCTTGTATAGCTCGGAAGAGTACTGTAACCTACAGATAACAAAATATGGAAGATGCAGAGAAAAACGTTTTGTTCAGAGTCAAGACCAAAAAATATAACCTTTGATAAAAAGCATCATAAGAAAAACCACATTTACAATTACCTTTTAGAAAAATATACTGACTTATTTACGTTGTCTGTCCTAATGATATGTAACTTAATTTCATTTTATCAAATTCAAATAAAATCTCTTTTCAAGATAAAAGTCATAGATAAAGTCACAAAACAACTTACCTCTCCAAACAGTCCACCTAAACGTCTAAGGCTAAGCTCTGGTTGTGACCCCTCTGTAACATTTACAGCTAGGGGGTATAACTCTAAAACACCACCAGCATCATCATTACTGTTGATTATAATCTGAGAATAGGTCTGGAAGTTTTCACCAAGTCTTGGAGATTTAGCAACTGTAAAAGATGAGTTGAACAATTAGAAAAAGCTATACTGACGCTTGAAAGCAGAAACATGTTGAAAGCCAAGCTTATTTGCAGAGGGACATTTTACATCAAGCATTTTAGTTTGTTCAAAAACACATAAAAAAATTATGATTAACCCACAAAAACTTTAAAGAATGACCTAAATCCATATTTCATAGGCAGACATTTGAAAAAGAAAGATGAAACAAGCACAACCGACAGGTACAATCAAATTAACAAACCTTGTGAGACTTAATAAATTAAATGAGACCTAAATTCAAACTCTTAGTCAGACATTTTAGAGATAAAACAAACATGACTGGCAGGTCCTAGCTATTATACTCACTAAATGAGACTTGAGCAACTTGTGTAACATTAACTGCTATCAGCCTAACAAATACAGATTCATCTTCTTCAGGGATACTATCATCAAATATAGTCACAGTAAAATTCTTAAATTCTTCTTTTGGTAAGAATTCTACTGTCTTGGTAACAGCACGGAAATCAGTGACATCAGCACGAGTTAATGGTCCTGGTAAAAATGGATATGTTTGTGTTGGAACTAGAGTGGCATAGGTCAGCAATACACCTCCAAATCTTCCTTTTAGTCTCTGAGCTTCAATAGTTATATCTGAAAATAATTATAGACATCTTTAATTTCAGTTTAATTCTGATATGCACAGAGTATTGATCTAAGTGCTGTTTTATCTTTTGTGTTAATTTTAAAACTCAATAATCAAAATTCATCATCATTTGTCGATCATGCTCAATAGATACTCTCTATAATGTGTCTGCATCTGGTAAGATTAGACTGTAAGATGTAACATCTCATATAGATCTATGCAGATCGGAACTATCAGACCTTTACTGTATATGGGCATGGTTCAGTGGAGAATTCCAGAGGTTAATTTCAAAATGTAAATCATAACTTGTGAAGTCCTGACAGTAAATTCAGAATATCATAGCTATTGAAAATATCTTAACAGCTTTGGCTCTCTGGACCTTACCTATGTTCCTGCTCCAAAGTGCAGAAAGGAAGAAATATTACTAACAAAACAAGTTAGATTTTTAAAATTAGAGTCATGAATACATATACATATATATCCAAACTAACAAACCTGAATTTCTCTCATCTGCTCTGATAGATCTAGATTGATCAGCTACAACAAATACACCATATGGATCATCATTAGCTTTCACTATCAATAAACTAGATCTTTTTAATTTATCTCCTAGTTCACCCTGAAATAAGAAATGGTGCTTGTGAGTTCAAATCCTAATATCATACTATTACAATCTATTTCCTAGATTACCTTCAAATGAAAAATTGGTGCTCTAGAGTTCAAATCTTAACATAATAATGTTTTAATTGATCACCTAAATCTGTTTGATATTATATATCAGGATAAAGGCGCTCAAGAGTTCAAATCTAAGAAAGATAACTGTTATGCTTTGTCCAAGAAAAGAATAACAGCTTAACTTCCTATGATCTTGTCTAAGAGTTGGTCCTGTGTCAAACAACAAAAACTAATCAGTACAATGATCAATCCTACCTCACTAGTTGCAGTTAAAGTGATTCTGAATATTTCATCCAGTTCTGGATCGATGTCACCTCTAATCTTGATTTCTATTCTAGACGTAATCTGACCAGATTCAAAAGTTATCTCCCCTGATTTATCAACCAGATCATTATTAACGTCACCCTCTGTTATCCAGGTCACTGTTGAGTTACCTATCGCTCCTCCAAGTCGCACAACCTTAATAATAAAATAGAATGAAATAAAATAAATGTTTTTTTACGTCCTACTTTTCTGCACCAGAAAACTATGGAAATTTAAGTAATTTTAACTAAATACGTTCTGCTCACTTTGGAAAAGTGCTAGTGGCAACCCTTCCATTTGTGGGGTGTTTCATACACGCTTTTATACCATAACCAATATCTTTGCATGTTGCTATTGGTTTCCTAACAGTCTTATCTAAGCCACAATCTTGATATCTGAAGATTGCTTATAGTTTTGCGTTCGATTACTTGTGCCATGCTTCCACGACAATGTTACTCCGGCATTGTTTGACATGCCCGAGTAGTGTCGTGGAAGTGTGGCGCAAGTAATCGAATGCGAAATTTGTATTGATCGCACTGTCCACCTTCTTCTTTTATTGCACATTGGGATACTTGCCAAAGTAACCGGCTCAGGGGGGGTGTGTTACTTCAGCCTGGCTTGAGTAAGCGCGAGTGATGACGTCATCGCTAAAGCGACCGCATTCGAGCTTCCATGCGTAAGCGCAGTGTAAGTAATCGAACGGGCAATTGGAGTGTTCCACAACTAACACAGGATCAAGCATACCCTTCCTATTTTCTTATCACCTCCAAGACTAAAAACTTGCGGGAGGGACATGTTGAAATATTTGACACAGGAAGAAATTTACCTCAAAGAAAACTGAATTGAAGCCCAAATCTCCTTCTTCATCAGCAATAATTTGTAGTGCTGAATCAGAGAATCTGTAAATACCAAACGCTCCATCTGATGGTTTTATTGTGACCTTTAACCTTCCGCCTACACCAATAGCAGCCCCACCTTGTGGATTCACCAGATTAACATAGAAATATTTGTCATCTTCTGGTATAACATTATCCTTGATCGTTATATTAACAAACGTCCAGGTTTCTCCTTCTTCTAAAGTAATGACACTGGCGTCTCCCTGAAACACAAAATATCAAACATCTTAGCTATTGTTATATCTTTTTTTCTAATACATTGATATATTGTATCCTGCTCTCAAATAGAAACAACCATCTACGGTGCCACTGCTCTGACATTATAGTGATCAGCACAGTTCTCTGTAACTTTGAGCATCTAGGGTGTATTTTAGAGCAATAGCTAAGAGCTGCTAGCCTGTCGGGTATGATATTTCGTAAGATGGTTCCACATCTTACTATTTGACTTTATTTACCATATTTATTATATTATTTATATAGATACTATATTTTAAACAAATTTTATTATAAATGTTAGTTTGCTAAAGCTAAAAATCTGAAGATCTAGATCTAATATAAACCAAAAAAAGATCTGATTCAGAAAAAAATGAAATTAAAGGAAATAAAAGTTATTGAAAAAGGAAGCATCTTTCATAATCAGATTTCATCAATCAAAAAATACTGTTGAATTTCATCTCTCATATTCATATTAAATCTCATATATCATCAAATGACAAAATAGAATTGAAGTTGGAGTTCAGAATTAAAATGAGGTTGAAATTAATATTGATTTTATAGGACCCAAACTGACCAAAACTGGACAAATCAAATAAAAAATCAAATGAAAAATCAAACAGTCACCATAAAATAAGATTTTAACTTTGGAGGAATCCAACTTGACATATACAATAATGTACAATTGTATAATTGCTTCAGCAAACAGAATCAACTTGTTTGTTAGGAATTCAGCTTCACTTAAATAAAAAAAAGGAATCACACTTTTCTTGTTTTGGAGGACCACAGCCTGACCAAGTGGTACAAATGTAAAATTGTTCTTCACACCCATATCAGTTTTAAGAGGACCCCAACTTGACTTGACTACAAAATTGCACTTAGACAGCTAAACTGTACAAATTGTATAAGGTATTACACTGCTCTATTTTAGAAGACTTAAACTAAGATTAACTGTACAAATGGAAAATCAAACTTATCAATTTTATCTTGGAGGACTCCAACTTGATTGAACTATACAAATTATATAAAGGATAAAATTGTCAATGTAAAAATGTGTTAAGATATTCAAAAAGAGATCATTGCTCATTGATTGTAATTCTACCCTAGAAATATTGTAATAATTCTATTGTTGATATATTGAATTGATAGAAATAGAAATTACCGTAAACTTCTCAAAAAATATCCTGTATACCCTCTTACAAGTTAGAGATAGAGTTAGATATGACTGATAAATAAAGCCATATCAACAGTCTAGAGCTCTTGTCAACTATGACAAGAAAATACTGTAAAAGCATCAATCTAGAGCTGTAGTATGATAAGACAGGTAAATACAGTCATAATATCAATAGTCTAGAAATCTAGTCAGACATGACAAGAAAAAAATACAGTCATATTAATAATCTGGAGCTCATGTCAATCTGGAAATCAAGTCATACATAACTGGTCAATATAACCATGTCAATAGTGTAGAGCTCTAGTCAGACATGACAGGTAGACATGACCATATCAATACTGTAGAGCTCTAGTCAGACATGACAGGTAGATATGCCCATATCAATAGTGTAGAGCTCTAGTCAGACATGACCATATCAATACTGTAGAGCTCTAGTCAGACATGACAGGTAGATATGCCCATATCAATAGTGTAGAGCTCTAGTCAGACATGACAGGTAGACATGACCATATCAATAGTGTAGAGCTCTAGTCAGACATGACAGGTAGACATGACCATATCAATACTGTAGAGCTCTAGTCAGACATGACAGGTAGATATGCCCATATCAATAGTGTAGAGCTCTAGTCAGACATGACAGGTAGATATGCCCATATCAATAGTGTAGAGCTCTAGTCAGACATGACAGGTAGACATGACCATATCAATACTGTAGAGCTCTCGTCAGACATGACAGGTAGATATATCCATATCAATAGTGTAGAGCTCTAGTCAGACATGACAGGTAGATATGCCCATATCAATAGTGTAGAGCTCTAGTCAGACATGACAGGTAGATATGCCCATATCAATACTGTAGAGCTCTAGTCAGACATGACAGGTATATATGCACATATCAATAATGTAGAGCTCTAGTCAGGAATGACAGGTAGATATGCACATATCAATAGTGTAGAGCTCTAGTCAGACATGACAGGTAGATATGCACATGTCAATAGTGTAGAGCTCTAGTCAGACATGACAGGTAGACATGACCATATCAATACTGTAGAGCTCTAGTCAGACATGACAGGTAGATATGCTCATATCAATAGTGTAGAGCTCTAGTCAGACATGACAGGTAGATATGCTCATATCAATAGTGTAGAGATCTAGTCAGACATGACAGGTAGATATGCCCATATCAATAGTGTAGAGCTCTAGTCAGACATGACAGGTAGATATGCTCATATCAATAGTGTAGAGATCTAGTCAGACATGACAGGTAGATATGCATATATCAATAGTGTAGAGTTCTAGTCAGACATGACAGGTAGATATGCATATATCAATAGTGCAGAGCTCTAGTCAAGCATGACAGGTAGATATGCATATATCAATAGTGTAGAGCTCTAGTCAGACATGACAGGTAGATATGCTCATATCAATAGTGTAGAGATCTAGTCAGACATGACAGGTAAATATGCCCATATCAATAGTGTAGAGCTCTAGTCAGACATGACAGGTAGATATGCTCATGTCAATAGTGTAGAGATCTAGTCAGACATGACGGGTAGATATGCCCATATCAATAGTGTAGAGCTCTAGTCAGACATGACAGGTAGATATGCTCATATCAATAGTGTAGAGATCTAGTCAGACATGACAGGTAGATATGCTCATATCAATAGTGTAGAGATCTAGTCAGACATGACAGGTATATATGCTCATATCAATAGTGTAGAGATCTAGTCAGACATGACAGGTAGATATGCATATATCAATAGTGCAGAGCTCTAGTCAAGCATGACAGGTAGACATGCCCATATCAATAGTGTAGAGCTCTAATCTGAAAAGAAGGCTTTATAGATCTCTATCATTAGAGTGTTTACGGTATTTGAAGTTGAAAATATCATTGAGAAAAAACAAAATGTCAACAGACTACCTTGTAGAAATATTGTGAATATCTTGGGAGGAATATTGAATTATAATATGGTATTTAATGGTGCTGTATAGCATGTGTTCTTTATCAATTACTATAGTTAAAGGTAATACATTGTAAATATTTTAACATTAAACAGTTTTGTTTTATTTTTTTTAACATTATTCTACTCTTTAACTAATATTTAAACTCATTTTTTAAACTCATTTTTTATATTCTATTTTAAATTGATTTTTATTTCTCATTAGTCAGCTCTTTAATCAATTAGATTGAGCTGTGATAGTTTGAATTTTCTAGGGAATAAGGTGCCATATCTCCAATATTTAACCTTAAATAATATTGAAATATCAGTTTGAATTATCAGGGCTAGTTAAGATAAAAGGTATGTTATAAAGATAAGCTGATTCAGTAAACAGGTGGTATCTAAATTCCAATCAAATATTAATGTAAATTTCTGTCTGAATTCCTACTGAATAGTCAACCATGAGAGTATATAGTTTTTACATGTAGTTAGTTCGTGTTTTCATTTTTGAGTCCAATTATAATATCTATATCATAAGGACATGTTTATTAATTGAAGAGCACCTAATACCACTCTGTAACTGGGTTTGTTAATATTTATTTAAAAACTATTATCATTCTAAGATGTATCAAAAGTTTCAATTTATAAACAATTTTTCTTCAGAAAATCAGTCTAACTTAGACAATTGGTATGAGAAACATGTTTCATTTTATTTTTCTATTTACAACAAAATCAAACAACAATTGATTGAAGTGCAATAAGCCAGTTTTAAAAATCACAATAATTGCTTTTTAACTGCCAAACATTAGAAATTAATTTTGATTTTTTCAGAGTGAGTTGAAGATTGGTCCACTTTATTCTGAGAAAATTTAATTTCCCGCTGTTAGACTGACAGGTGTGATGGCTATTCTAGGAGAACAGACAAGACTTCAGGACACTCAACATCGCAGATTTCTCAATATCAACTTGTTCGTCGGATAAAAAATCAATAAAAACCTAAACTGGAATACTGACGAAATTTTAAATATGGTGAAACATCGAGACTGGATAATCCTTGAAATAATTCTAACGCTAATTGTTTTTTCTAATTCGTTATCCAACTCGTGTGATTTAGAAATCCAAGGATGTGAATATAAAGTGAATCTAACGCCAAGTTTAAATTGTGAGCAGAAACAATTCCAGGATTTAATTCACAAACGGACAAAAAGATCAGAAATTTCTGACAATGACAGGCCAATAACTAAAGCAGAATTTAAAAAACTTTCATTAAAAGTTAGTAAAACTGTTGATAAACTTTCAGTACGAGTTTTACGTTGGTGGAGAAAATTAGCTCGGAAAATTGACAACCTACATTCAAAAGGACCAACAGAACGCTCACTAGCAGAGAAGAATTATAACTGTCCTGATAGGTTTGTTGGAATGAAAGACTGGCGTTCCTGCTATTTATTGTCTAATTTCAATTCTTCGTGGTATGATGCTAAAGAATATTGTGGAGCTTTTGATGGAGATTTATTATCTATGGGAACTATAAAAGAACATTACATTGTCACTTTTCTCATCAAAAACGATCCAGGTAATTTTGATTTCAAAATCATTTTGCATTGCTTTCTAAATTTGCTTTGCTTGTTATTTCTATATTGTGCACTCAGTCACACCTGATTTGAATACAAAACATTTTTGAGGGTGTATTAGGCATAATTGTAAGAAAAATTTTCAATTTGCAATCACACAAGGCAGGGTTGAAATGACATATTATGCTACTATATTGTTTATAGTGTGATTTTTATAAGATGGACAATCTTAAATGGACGTTAGTTTAAATTAAAAAATTGTTCTCGTCCTTTCCAGAATTAAAGAATGCGGCTGGTTGGTGGACTAGTGGTAGTTACCATAGCAACAGAAAACAATGGATTTGGTCATCACAGTATTATAATAAACAGTTTACCTTTATAAAATGGGGGGTGGGGGAACCTAACGAAGAGGGGTCACAGTGTATGATGTTAAAAAGAGATGATGACCATAAATGGCATGATGAGATTTGTACACAAAGATTTAATTTTATATGTGAAGTTCAAACTACAGCTGTACAAGAAGTGGTGTGAGTTGAAGATATTATAAATGTGTCAGGCTATATCAATAGGAATCAGTTTTTATAATACAAATAATGTCTGACTAGATTTCAAAGCTACTGTTTTGACTGTTTATATCATGTTGACTATTGAATAAAAACAGTTATCATAATAAAAATAGTGTATGAATAAATTTTTAGACTGTTTAAGTCGTGTCTGATATTTAGATCACTGATCAGTCGTGTTGGACTAGCCATTGGTAAGAAATGTTTCGCTGGATCAAAATAGATTTTGATCAAATAGGTGTGGAATGAATTGTGTGTCACTGTACCATTAAGAATTAGTGAAAATATGATTCAAGAACAAAAAAACGTTTTTAATCATACAATATTGAAAAAATACATGTAAATTGATATTTCCAAGGTAAAAGAAGGCTTTTGATAGTGAGTTATGTTTTCAACAAAATAATTTTGTGTTTTAGATGTGTTTACTATAATAGATATTTATTAGTTTTGATGAAGATTATTATTATAGCTATACAAGAAACAATTTGAATTTAAGAAATGATTTGTTAGAGTTGTAGAGAACTGTTACTGGCCTGACATCTTTGTATCTCTAGCTTTGGTCATCTTTTCATTTGATTTATTGGGAAATTACATGGTTGATTTTGAATACAGACATAAGCCAGTGTTGGTTTTAAACCAAGAGTGCTTAATTAACTTGAAAATTCCTATTTCATCAGTCTGAAACGGTGCACATTTTAGTGTTCTGTGTCCCCAATATCAAAGGCCAGAAAATCTTATTTGAATCACTTGAATGTAGTTCTCTCCTTGGACTGTCTCCAACCATTTAGAATATATACAGTTAGACTCAAAATCAAAACAAAACAGTTTGGCTTACCACAAAATCTATAGGTGATTTCCCTTGACTTTTAGCAGACCCATCCTCAGTTCTCCACTCAGCTGTAATTTTCTTCAGAGTTCCCTGAGCTCTTACTACCACTAGAGTTGCTACCCCTATTTCTTCTTGTATCATTATCTACAATAAAGATCAAATTTTTTTTATTAGTTTTGTGGACTCCATAGAAGAAAAGTTGAAGAACCCAGTCAAGTAGCATCAAGAGTTGCTTTGATGCTACATTAAAATAATACTTTTTGCACAAGCATTTTTTTCTCTATAACAAATTTTTCCTCAAATTTTTCGCTTGACATATGAGTATAAATCTCCATTGCTGAACAATAAACTTTATGTATTTTACCTCTGGTTCTGATTCCGTGGGTAGAATCATGCTACCGTTATTTACAGGGGGTGTACGAGAACCAGAAAATTGTAATAAACCATAAGGATAGTCATTTTCTTCTATGATAATCTGAGACAGACGTCCACTGGGACTGATACTAGCTCCACTTGTATTAGTCGTCCCTACCACACCATCATCTGATACAACTTTCTCTAATATTACCATGAATGTCTTTCTTACTTCTGGTATATTGTCTTCTTTAACTTCAAATTGAAAAGTCTAGAATACAAAGGAAAGTAAATCTAAACTCATACTTCTGCAATATAGTTAATAATACCCTTTTCTGACATTACTGACAAATACTGCTTAATCAACAGTCTAGAGCTCAAATCAGACTCGACCAGCACACACAATCTAATCAACAACTTAGAGCTCTAGTCAAACATGATTGGAAAATATAGCTAAATAGCTAAAATTCTTGTCAAATGCAACTGGCAAATACAGCTAAATCAACAACCTAGAGCTCTAGTCAAACATGACTAGCAAATACAGCCAAACCAGAAGTTCAGTCTTACATGGCTGGCAAATACACACAAATTTACAGCCTTGTCTAATTTATATGTACACCTAAAGAACATACTTGTAATCTGCTGCCTGGTGGAAAGGTCACCACACCTGTATAATTTACAAAATCATCTACAGCATCGACTGTACCAGTGGGGGTCACCTGACGTACTACCCACGTTAAATATACAGTCCCATCATCCCCTCGTAGCCTCTCTATAGAACAGGTGATAGCTGTATTCTCTACATTAGTACTAGCTGGTGTACATAGATCTTTATATCTGAATTCACCATTAGCATTGTCACTCTTTAATACTGGAGATAAAAACATATAAAATTCAAATCTCAAAATCTCGTATTTATTTTCTAGTTGCCTTCCCTGATAAATATCAATATGATGAATGATGAATATGATAAAAACTTTTATTATGAAAACACCTGATTTTGTCAGTTTATGGAATCATTACAATTTGGATATATACATGTTCATCTTCTTCTTGTGGAAGTTTTTTCAGTTAAGTTAATATTGCAAAACTGAGTAGGCCTACCAACATCCTTTAGGTTGCATCTGATATTTTTTGGCTCAAATCAATAAAGGGTTTCAGACACAAATTCTGAATGTAATTCTGAAGACATTGGTATCATCACTTCATAAAAGACTCATAATTTTAGAATTTTTTAAATGACCAACCTGTTAATGTTGCCTTTCCATCATCAGCAGAGATAGTAGCGCCACCATTAGCCGTTACTAAATCAATAGAAAACACCTCATTCCCTTCCTCTTCTACATCTTGTAATGAACGAACTTCAAACGTATTACTTTTAACGTTCTGTTCAAATACTAGAATACCTGATACAGGAGTTACTTCCCTTCTTGCTGGTAGATCATATGTCTCACGTATCTCGCTGAAATTAGATAAACCACCAGGGTTTGTTTCTATCAAGTTATAAAAAATATTGCTATATTGGATACAATGTAGCAATGTAGAAACTTTAAGTGATGCAGATTTGAACAAAACCAAATCTAAAAAATAAATTGAATAGGAATGGTGGCCCTCTGAAAGCAATGTCTAGTGCTCAGAGTTGTATAAAGCTTCCAGAAGGGTGAGCATGCTATTTCTTGTATCAAAGAAACACATCATAAAATCTGAGAAAAATTTGGGCTGATATTTTGAGATGACTGTAATTACTATTTCATCTGATAAGAGAATGGTGTGTGAAATGGGCAATACTTACTTTTCCTCAAGTTTACGTTTAAACAACCTGACATCCTGTAGGTAGCCATTGTACGTCTCTGTCCCTGGTGCTCGGGCTCCAACCAACAAAACCCCTTCAGGACTATCTAGTATTCTATTTCCTACCATTTTACTACAACAAAATAAATCATATATGTTCTTGTTTTGAAAAATATTTGCCAAATGTAACCGTCTTTGATAAAGTTCTAACAATAAAAAGAAATCCTGATCACTTCACAAAATTATTTTCAATGGGCTACACAAGCATGTTGAAATTAGAACAAAAAAATAAACAACTTTTGCTCAAAATTCACTTCACTAATACAAAGACATTTCCAACACAACTATGAACTTGATGGGAGGATTATCTCCTTACTTGTTCAGAAAACAAGAAAAAGCTTATTTCAAAAAACTATTCCACTGAAAAATCAAAAGATATCAGAATTTTATACCAAAATAAAACTTACCTGGTGCCTATAGATATACCATCAAGATAAAATATAATAGAACTATTTGAAACAGCTACTAGAATGTGATGCCATTTACCATCTTGAATGTTTTTATTAGAACTACTAGAAATAACTTGGTTCTCCTGGAAGATAAAGAATATTTGAATTTTCACACAAACTTGGACTTCCTTAAGAAAAAGCAGGGAAATACATTCATTTTAGCCAAAGAGCAGGCTAGTTAGTTGGTAGATGACAAGTTATCATCTGCCTCCAGGTGAAGATGATATCTAGGACCAAGGGCAGGCTAGTAATTCCTTTATGCCCCATGAGGCATCCGCTGAGGCAATATATCCCTCTAGCATCATGTTTGTATAAGGCTGCATAGGCAAAGATGCACCATGTTCACATAGAGTGAGTGAGTTTAAACCATATTCTAGGTCATTGATATCATCCTGATGTCCTATCGTTTGTAGTTCAGAATATAAAGTAGTCAGGTAACTTATTTAACTTACTGATTCAGCAGTAGAAAGAGTTAAATCTATATTAACAGTGGACCCTGTAGATTGTAATTTTAAACTGTAAAATTGTCGGACACCACTGGCTGAAGTTCTAGCTATAATATATCCATTAGCGTTAGGGAATGGTTGAACCCAAGCTGATAATGTCAGACCATTTTCAAACTTGGTTACATCTGGGGTCTTGTCTTTAGAAACTGTTACATAGTTGCCTACAATAAACAATCATAGGCTACAAACAAAACACTGCAAAAGTCATAACACTAGTATCCTTAGCTATTTATTATATTTATGTATAATTTGACTCACAATAGAGATAATTGCAAAATAATATTATTTATTCCACTTTTGTGATAGAGACAGTCAATGCCTCACAATAACTGTAGTACAAATTAAACATATTATAATGGTGAAATATTCAACCTATATCTATGAGATGAGATGAAACGTATTTAATAAGTATAAGTTATTTCTTTACCTGCACCGCCTGAGAAAAGAAGAACCAGAGTACCAGTTTGATTCCGTTGTTTGGTAGGAATAGGTACCATGGAAGAAGGTCGGTCACCAATAAACATCAGATCTATTAAATCTGGGAATGTTCCACCAACAGAATCAGAATATATCTCCCATACCACCTGTAGATACAATGATTAAACCTTGATAACCAACCTCACTTTGTAAGTATGGACGTAAGAGGTAAGACATAAGAGGTAAGAGTAAGAGGAATGCATTGTGCATTGTTGACGATAGCATTTTGGGATACTAGAAAAGAGTGAAGATTCTTCAGGGCAAATATTTTCTGCCTTCTTAGAATTCTAGGCTCAATGCAATTTTACAGTTTGTTTTCATGTCAGAAAAAGAAAGAATTACAAATCTCTTAAACACAAATCTCAAACTACTATATTAGTCTAAAGTATATCTAGAATCTAGAAAAACTAGATGAACTGTCAAACAAACAAGAAATATTTACCTCAGTTTTACCCAGAACACCTTGACGTCTTTCTACTGTTACAGTAGTCCTGGTTGTTGAGTCTTTCCCAACTTCAAAGTCTTCTGCTATTTGAAGTTCACGAGTTTTAGAAGGAAAAGCAAAGCGACCATTGGGGTCATCACTGGCAACAACATTCAATAGTACTGTGGTATCTGTACGAGCAAGGTTAGCTAGACTATCAGTATCAATTCTTCCCACCAGGACTGAAAAAACAGAAATAAAAATTATTATCTTTAAACTTTGCAGTGAGACAAAAATTTTATGGAAAGAATATATTCCATTGGCATATTAAGGCACAAAAGAGTTAAATGTTAAATTTATATCAGTATAAGGTACTAATATCAACAACATTTAAGATATGTATTTCATTAATTGCTCGAAAGAGGTATAAAGAACAGAGTGCAGAATAAGATACAGAACAACATGAAATAAAACTCTACTTTTTCCATTAACGCAGAAGAATATAGAACAGTAGGATATATGACAATTTCATTACTTTAACCTAGTAAAATGCAAAGTCTTTGTATGTGAAATCCCACCATAACATTATAAATAACTAACCTATAAGATTGTATAATTCTACAGTATAAGCTAGATTAGTTTCTGGTATATCATCAGCCAATGGTTTGATTGATAATTGTTGTCTGCGTTCCTGTGATTGAAATATCACCGAGCCTTGTGTCTGTTCAAACTGGTCTCCATTGTCTAAAATGTTTCCTGTAGATAGGGAGCGAATTCTCCAGAACACTTCCACTGATCCTTCTCGACCTTCACTTCTATCAATACTAAAATTAAAACAGATGATCAGTTATATTCTTAAAACAATATTAGTCTTAGAGCACAAATCATTGAATACAAAAATGACGAGAAGGTGCTTAGCTGTGTCTGTCTGTTGTAATTTCACAGCAAAAATTCTTAAACCAACGAGGACTGCTAATCGAAAATCATAGTAGAGCTCTACTAAAATTAAGGGTTTTATATCTTCCTTTTAGTGGAATTGAATGGACCACAGAGGTTTGACTGAAAATAGGAATGGTGCAAATCAATGCTATAATAGTCTACGATACCCAAAAATAAAAAGTTTAGAAAACCTCTTTACAATCCCTTTAATACAAGAAATTCTGTTTTATGTACTCACTTTAAGAAATATTCACTACCTTCTTCTATAGTTCTACCAGTTGATGACTCAAATTTAAAAATACCATAAGCATTATCATTATCCAGTATAGTTATAGTTGCTGTTGATTTATCAGTTAGTAGCAGATCACCTACAAAATGGACAAAATCTGTGTCATTCGAACTTTTCATCTACCTAAACCTGAACTGTATATTTAAATACAGACCTAAAAATATTAAAACAGAACCTGAAGCATTTTGTTAAGTTTCACGCTGTGTCACCTTCAGAGGACATGTTTCAGGTTCTGTTTTTAATATTTTAATATCGCTCTGCAATGGATTTATTGAGCACTATTAACAGTATCATTGTAAATACAACTCTACACATTTGTCTCATTTATATCTTAATCAATTACTTACCTCCTAGATCAAAGAGTTGAAGAACGAACGTTTCATTTCCTTCAGGTACATCATCATCTAAAACTGATACAGTGAGATTGAACATGGCCTGTCCAGGTTGAAACGTTATAATTTGACCAAGTATAGGACTAAAATCACCATCAGCAGACTTGGCAGGACCATCTAGTGTTCGGTATCGGACTGTAGCAGATTCTGCTAGATTTCCTCTCCGTATAACAGTAAATATCAGACTTGCTGGCTCATCACAATATACCTGGTTTTCTGAAAGATTCAAAATATTAAATTATAACTGAACCGTCCAACACTGTTATACATTCTGCCAAATTCATAGAGATATATTATTCTATTGACAAGAACTTGACAAAACCTCAAGTATTCAGAAAAGGTTTTGGTCATTTACTGGTTTCAAAATGGGAACATAGTAAGTGAACAAAGATACTAAAAAGAATCAACAAGTTATTTGACCAAATACAGAGTGGATATAAGACAAAAAAAAAATAGGATGTAACTTACGAGTAAATTCTACAGGATTATCATTGGATCTTATGATTATAGTTGCCATGTTTGGTTGTCCTAATGTGGCGCCCCCTGTTGGTGTTGACAGCTGGACTCTGATTGTCTCATCTTGTTCCGCGATCTATAAAGGAGTACAACAATTTAAATGAGAAGTTTGTTGCCAGACCAGTAATATAAAGGATAATAAAATTTAAATTTTAAGATATTACAGTAACACGTAGATCAGTTTCCATGAAACGATATGTCCATAAAACAGTTGGTGAAATGAGACCTTTGTTCAAAGTTCTATTAAATTTCACACAAAGCTGTATATTCTCCAGAGATTTCAGACTTGAACGACAGAAGTGATGAGTACAAACAAACGTAAAGACAAGACGATATGAAATAAGCACACTTCTTGAATACTCTCCAGAGATTACAAGCAAATTATAGTGAATGAATGCACGCAATATCCAACAATATATGAAGATATAACGTAATACAGACTGATACATACATCATCATCTACTGAGGTGATATCAATACTAGCTGTAGTTTCACCAGGTCGCATTGTCACTATACCAAACGTTGGTCGTAAATCATCTCCTGTAGAGGGCAGCAATGTCCATGAGACAGTAACGGTACCAAAACTACCTTTAATTCTTTCAAGCGGTAAAGATGCATTTTCTATATTAGATCCACGACTTTCTCCTAGAAAACAAGAAGTTAATGAACTCTGTATCTTCAAATATCTTACATAGAGAGTGAAATTTTACTGATAACGTGGGAAGGCTTTGATCAATCTTAGGTTAAGTTTCATATCTAGTCCAGATTAAAGTATATCTGAATTCAAAATCAATTTTAGTGATAGACCAATCAGATGACTAAACCATCTTCAGTTCAGTTTTTGAGAATATGGGTCCTGGAGTGAGATATTAAACTTATTACTTACTGATATAAATAACCATAGGATTATCTTTAAACTGTAGAACACCATAGGGTTGGTCATTCTCTTTTACTGTGATTAGTACTGAATTTTTATCACCAATTGTCGCCTCACTTTCACCATAACTTGATAATCTCATAGTATATGTTTCTCCGAGCTAAAAATCCAAATAAATAACAGATATCTTCCAACCTTTATTTGTTATCAATCATCAATTCCAATAACATTAGATACTATGGAAAAATTACATAGGGTAACCAGGTGAAAGTACAGATCCCAGGTTGAAAAACCTGGGTGAGTATTTTTCCTTTCTTGTGCTTGTAAGAGTATATGTATCAAACAGACATAAGTAGCAATGAGGATTCTCTGATGAGGAATACAGGTTGATAAACCTAGTAATAAAGTTGCATCAGATAATCTTTGAGTGAGCCTAGCGTACAAAGCATAATTGTCTAAATTAAGGGTTATGCACTTGGACCTACCTCGGGTATATTATCACTCTTAGCTATAACTGTGGCAGTTTTCCTCGTCTCTCCAGGCTGAAATCTCAATACATTGATGGCACCAAAGAATTCCTTGACTCCATCAGGTTCTATAACATACTGAACTTCTTTAGTCATTAAATTACCACCAGTTCTTTCTACTACTACTTCTATAGCTTCATCTCCTTCCTAGTATATAGATAAAATATCAACATTAGTCACTTTTAACTTTTTAATCTGTGATGAAGGTTGAAAGGTGGGTATTATTACTATTAAGCTGGGGGTAATTACACCAAAGGAGGTAAATTTTGAAATTTTTCAGGGGTAATGAAGCGCTTTATAGCACAAATTTCTAGGACGATAATGCAATAAATCAAGGATACTGAAAGGGGTAATAAAAAGAAAATATTTTTGCTCTAGTAATGAGGAAACAAAACAAGGCTGTATGTGTGTACATTAAAGATCTCTGGATATTTCAAGCAAAGGAATTGAGATTATGTTGCTGTTTTTAAAACTTTGCTGTCTAATTGTAGGACCCATCATCTTTCTTCTTTTTATATCAATTCATTTCACCAAAACAAGTTTTTTTCTTACTTACCGATATTAAATAAGAATTTCTCATTACACCAGCAAATTGAAACACACCCCCTGGATTATCATTCTCTAGTATAGTTATAGTAATAGAGCGAGTTGCCTGATGTAAACGTTGGGTAGCTGCAGGTTCCACAGAGTCTAAGGTAACTACCATTGTCTCGTTATTCTCAGGGATATTGTCTGGTCGTATTTGTATTGATAAACCCACATTGTTAGAACCTGAAATAAACATTGGTAAATTGAGACAAAGATTTAACTTAGTTGATCAGGACAGTTCAAAGTAAACTCCAATAATAATTTTCAAAAGTTTATTTTATGCCCTTAGCATAACATAAAAACAATCTTTCCAACAGCTGATTTGAAAGAGCTGGTTTCAAGAAATCAAATGGTGACCACATGTATCAATCCCTTTGTATAATTGTGAATGCTATCACCAGGCCAACTCTTGGCAGAGCAGGTCTTTGCATCAGAATTTTTAAAAACCTTGAGGAGGATTCAAACCCATTTCAACCAACTTCATAGAAGATGACAATGCAACTAGTAGCTATAGTTTTAAACACACTTGATGTTTCCAATTTGCATAAAATCTTTTGAAATAAATAAGAAAACACATATGAAGAGGTTAAAGTCCTTCATAAGTTTTTTCCCACATTGAAATCACAATGACCTACCTGAAGGAATGCTGACAGATCCTGAGAGAGCAACAACATCTTCCTGGGTGACCTGGCCTACAGAATCACCAACTCCCTTGATAGACCACCTGATTACAGCATCACCACTTTTACCTTCTCGACTAATTACCAGTGGTATCTACAAATACACACAACAATAGTTATAGTTTATTCCATCTCAGCTCTATAAAAAAAACTTCATTGCTATCAGATGTATCTAGAAATACACACAGGATGAAAAACATCATACCTATGTATTTATCAAACCCTGAAGAAAAGATTTACAGGCATACACCAAACTGGCTAAGCACATGGGATGAATATAACACTATATTCTATTGATTAAACCTTAATAGTCATACACATCAGATCTCTACAATATATGACCTCCAAAATGTATGAATGTTCACCTCTAAAAGTCCAACAGAAGGTTCCTCAACTATCTCATCTGTCATGTTAAAAAATCCTATCTTCCCATTTGCTTCTTCACTTTTGATTTCCACAGTAACAGATTTTCTACTACCTAGTTTAGGACTGTTATATGCTCCAAATTCTGGTTCTGTAAGTATAGATTTTTTTAAATTTTGAAACTACAGTCAGAAAATTCAAACTTTTTAAATCAAATACACAGGTAAAGCATAAGTATTCCAACAGCATCTAATCAAAGATATAGCCTTAAATTGTACTTATACTGTTAAAGCAGAGTAAAACAGTCCATTCGAATATATTACCAATATGTGATTTATAAACTCAACATGACTAAAAAGATATATCAATTTACCATTTTGAAGTCTAATGTCTGACAATGTAGCCACAAAGTTTCCACCAATTTGCAGAAAAGCCGTTCGCAGTAGAGGTATTTCTACAATAACAGGATTTTTATCTGTTGCCATGGTAACTTGCATTTCTGGTGTTGCCAGCATATCATCTGATATAATAAAATATTCAAAATTAATAAATATTAGGGACATAGTGGCACACCAATGTCAATGTTGACATACCTGTGATAACAACAAAATCTGGAGACAAATAATCTCAATACATCAATTGTAGAGCGAAATAAAAATAGCACTGTCAAAATAAAGCTCAATACATCGATTGTTTTAATATTTTGTTTCTATTTCTATATACATTTCTTATATATATCTTTGTTTTATTGAAATCTTACCAGCAGTGAGTTGACCGTCCACGTCATTGAATACAACAGTAATATTGACTAATAAATCATCAACACGTCCATCATTTCTATTTAACTGTAACTGTAGATACCGGTTTCCAGATTTCTAAAAACAAATAAAGAGTGAAGTTACACCTGCTTCTCAACACCCCTAATATTTGATTCATAAAAACAAGTGGCAATTCATCAATTCCTGGTCCTTTAAGCAATAGTTTATCTGGTATATGACTAATAGAAACACATAATGAACAGATTTTAAACTCTTTCTTTCAGCTGATAAAGATAAGAAAATATATAAAGAAATGAAATGTAGTTTTAAGCATCTTTTCCTGACATTGTATAGACTCCTATGTGCTGAATGTTAGACAGGACCATATCACTTTGGTTCTGACCCATGTAAAATAAAAAGTTTACAAGGTGTATGAATTGAGAATACGTAAAAGAAAAGAAACAATCATTACTCACAGTAGGTATTAGGTGAGTATTATCAGGTCCAAACTCTACTGTCCCATAAACATTATCACTATCTTCTATAATTAGTTCAGCTTGTATAATACCTTCAACTTTAGCATTACCAACAACAGTATCTGGTTTCAGACGCACCAGAAACTTCTCTGCTATCTCTGGACTAATGTCTTGTACAATTGTTAAACTTATTTCAGTATCGCGTTGTCCAGCAGCAAATGTTATCGTTCCCTTCAATGGACCAACATCATCTTGCACTGGGACTGTAGAATCTCCAGATCGTACCACCTCCCACTCGACAGCAACTGCTCCAAAAGTTCCACCGTTTCTAATGACAGGGAATGTTGCTACGGTAAAAGTGTCTTCGTTGACACGAACTGTTAAACTATTGGCTGCATTAATGGATTCAAAACTAATTGCTCCATTTGGATTGTCATTAGCACTTATTTTGATCACTACTTCAATTAATTTACCCCACACGACTTCACCCTCCAACTTGCCGATTTGAATTTTAAATGTTTCCTCCATTTCTGGAGTTAAATCGTCCAAAATTTGAAAAGTGAAATTAGTTCTCATGACCCCTGGTGGAAACACGACTTTCCGACTTTCTCCATTAAAATCTTGTCCTAATATGGCAGTACCACTAACTAAGATGACGTCAGCAGAAACCTGAGTGTCAATGGGACCTACAGGTATAGAATTATCAGACACAATGCCACGAAACAGAACCACATGGGCTGTTTTTATTCCTGGTCCTTCTTCATACCTATATTCACCCTGGAAATAAAAAAGATTTTTGAAATGAGAATATCAATCTATTGCTAGGACAATAAAATATATTCTTTAATAAGAAAAATCATATGCAATGTGCAATTTGAGCACATTTTTTCAAAACAATAAAGTGAAAGTCTGTTGAACTAGAAGAAGTGACATTTTTCATCCTAGTAAATAGAAGCAAATGATCCAGGAAAGATCATATCAAAGACATTCAGCAATGAACTAAGACTTATTCACCCAAAGTTGAAGATTAACTAAAATATAGAGATCAGAACTAACCGAAGATAAGATGACAAAATAAGGTAGAATAAAAATAATCTCACCTTTTCAAAGCTAATTGGTGCATCATTAGCCAAGATTCTAATTTCTATTTCACCACCCTCAATTCTAGCACCACTACTGACTTTTGTTAGTTTGATAGTAAAACTTTCAGTGTTCTCTGGTATCTACAAAATACATCAAAACCATAATCATACAGATAAATATTTACACTCAGTCTGAGTTTATTTACATCCATATAAATCTAACTTCCATTACCCCCTTTTAGCTTACCATGCTCATTCAACTTCATCTCAAATCAAGGAAATAAAAACTTTTTCCAAAGTCGTTATCCTAAACATAAGACATAAGATATTCGCCCACAACACATGATAAGTTCCTTTCCTTATTATGCACATTTTCTGAGACTATATTTGTGATAAAAGTTCAATAAATGCTACCTCTTAGAATGAACATGGTTTTATCTTATTTTAATGTATTCTGTTGTGTATATGAGGTAAATCCACTGATAATTATAAACTCTTATTGGCCAAGTGTGAGAATCTAAATTCTCTAAGAGGTAATATTCCTTTAATACACCACTACAATTATCAAGAATTAATGAACATAAAAAATACTTACATTATCAGCGCGAACTTGAAGCTGCATGACAGCAGTTGTTACTTTAGCAGGAAATGTTATCTGTCCTCTTATAGGAGCTATATCTGATCCAGCTATAGCATTTGATGTTAAGCCAGTTGTCTGAAATATAGATCATTATTATCAAAAATTCTGGAGAAAGTCTAAGAATGGTGGAATCGGCTTAAAATATTTCTAAACATAAACAAATAGATTGCATGTAAATATAATCAAAATTCAGATACCAATAACTCAGAACCTTATAATTGTAACATACTAAGATCCGAACACACCAATAAGCCACTTCAGAGTTTTGCATGGAGCGTACCCTTATAAAGGGTGGCAATTCAAGGAGGTCAAATCGTCAAGTACTGCAACGTAGAGGAAAAGAAAGAACATTATTGATTTATAACATGACTTAATGAGTAGATACAATGTGAAAACTTTTAAATGTGTCAATATTTATGGCTGTGTCATTCAGTTTCAAAACATGTCCCTTGTTTCCGTAGATCAAGTTGGCTTTGTTTATCTTTCATACAAACCAAAAATGCATCAGCCATTATCTCCTAACTCTGAAGTGGCTTATTGTTATTGTATGTACATAGCTTTATGTAACATTGAAATTGTTTAAAACTAGTAATTTAATAGTAGTTCTGATGGACATGATGGACATATGTATATTACTGATGATAAAACTCAAATATCAAGATTCTAAAGAGGTTACCTGTATATCAAAAAGTATATATCATCGCAGACGATATTGGATACCTCTTAAAGGCTGAAAATAGGCAAAGACAGGAAACCAGGTAATATATGAATATAATATACAATACCTGATAGGTTAAAGTGACAGCACCAAAGTTTCCTTTAGATCTACTGATTCTTAAATCAAATGTTGAGGAGTAGGTCTGTTCTACCACTATAATAGGACTAGTCTGACAATACAGAAAGAAACAACATAATATTACTCAATATTTCTTACATTAATAAATCGGCATAGAAGATGGGAGATTAATTAAATAAGTATTAATATCTTACAATGGGTTCATTTTAAGCCAAGTATATCATCCACAATGATATAGATCCACATAGATCCACAATGATATAGATCCACAATGCCTAGGACTACCTAAGGTATTGGTCAGTATCAATATAAATTTATTCTCATTATAAAAATCCTTTGAAACTCTCGCCAGTTGAAATTATTACTTACATCAACAAATGAAAATACACCATAAGCATCATCGTTAGCCTTGATTACTACAGACGCTACAAATGGATTGGCAACATTGGCTTTATTACCAACAACTGACAATTGTAACTGAAACTCTTCATCATCTTCAGCTATATCATCATCTCTGACAGTGAACGTCACTGTGACTTCATTCATGCCCTGTTCAAATGTCCCAACCTGGGTATCACCTACAAAATCTTCTATATCTCCCTTTACAACCTGAAAAAAATAACAAAAATATTGAATAGAAATTCTGATACTGCTCAGAGTTGTAAAGATGGTAACAGTACACATGCAGTGTGCATAGGGAAAATTATGTCAAGACAGCAGTCACAACACTTATCCTCTTAGTTCATTAATCATTGACATATCTCAAAACCTGCACAGTTGGTATCAAAAGTAAAGGCCATTTTTTTCAAAATTATGTCACAAGCCTGTAACAAGGACAAAGGGACACAAGATTTAAAGAGGCATCATCTTTTTTTACTCTATTGCTTCTTCATATTAGTACACAGTACTTACAGCAACTACCACAACTAAATCTTCAGTTATTGTCCCTGTTTTTATAATCTTCAGGCTAAACTGCTCTCCTTCTTCTGCAGATAAATATGTATCGGACAGTTTGACAGTAACTTGACCAACAGTGGACGGAATAATCAACATTAATATCAGGAAGTTTATGTACATGTTTAATCTGAAATGATAGATATAATACTTATTCAACTAAAATCTAGGGATTAAAAGCTAACACAGGGTAGACTTTTGGCAATACTATAGTTTTTTATGGGATTCACCTGATGGGCAGACAACAATCCATCTAGCTACCTGACATATTCTACTGCCACTAAAAAACACTAGCTCAGTGTTAGAAGGAAGTATTTCAGATATTCATGTAACTTTTTCAACAAAACCCAATATCTCTCTATCTAAAACAGATTAGGATATATAGGAAAAGCTATTAAATCTTGTATTTTCCAGCAATTTCGCCTCCCCCCAATATAAGCCCATTATTCATATTTTGTATAATTATTTGATTCGATTTGATTGATTTAATCTATCTGATTATAAGATCTATTTGATTTGACTTGATTTATTTGATTTGGCTGATTTATTTGATTTAATTGTGTTAATGAAGAGAATCAGTTGAAAGTAAATACCGACAGCTGGCTGTTGAATTAATTGTGTTTGTTTTTAACTTTTATCAAAATTATTTCATAAACCCAATACAATACAGAATAGTAGGAAGTGAAACTCATTTATTCATAAGCCAATGAGATACAGAAGTCAAACTGCATTGTATCTGGGTTGATCAAGTGAATTTTACCCAAAAGGGTACAGAAAAGTGGGAAGTAAAACTCTATTTGTTTATATTACTTAAAGAGATTGTAAAGAGATTTTCTAAACTTTTTGTGTTTATCTAGGACACTGATAGCATCAATTTGCACCATTCCAATTTTCATTCCGACGTCTATGGTTCTTGCATTACCACGAAAACTGACACATTTTATGATGTCACTTGAGGGAAGCAACTATTGATATCTATGCAGTTTCCATCTAGTGACGTCATAAAACGCCTTAGTTTTAGTGGAAATGCAAGAACCACAGACGTTTGATTGAAAAATTGGAATGGTGCAAATTGATGCTACCAGTGTCCAAGATACACACAAAAAGTTTAGAAAATCTCTTTACAATCCCTTTAAATCAATAACCTAAAAAGGTTTCCAAAAGTATATGTAAAATGTAAAACTCCAGTAGAGTATATTGATTAAGACCAGTATGTATATTAATGTATATGTTTATTTATTATTTACTGCCCCCACTGGGTGGTAACTAGATTGAGTCATACTACGTCATACTACCACATACAGCTTATATCATAAATCAATAGTCAATATGTGCTAAATATGCATATATATTAGACTATAAATATAAAAAAATTAACTATATATTAAAAATGTATGTTCATAACAATTTCCCTTCAAATATCTATCTCTTTGCAATGCCACTGAAACTATTAAGCGTTTTATGATGTAGCTCAAGCAAAGCCCTACTTTTAGCAGCCTTTGTTATAGTGATGTATACAGTTTAACAATTCTGTAATTACAGGAACCATAGAATTTGACTAAAATTTAAATGAGGCAATAAGAAGCCAATAAATTCCATGATACATATCAAAAGCTAGAAAAAACATTTACAAATAAAAATCAAATCAAAATTTAACATTTACATTATAAACATAGTGGACCACAGCCATATACGCCCACCACGGCATGCGGATGGTAAAAACGAAATATCCATTTTAAGTTTCATCAAAATCGGTTGAAAACTAAGAGAGTAATAGCATATTCAAGATTTTGGGGCAAGGGCAATAACTCTGCTTCTAACGGTCGAAAATATCTCAAATTCGAACTTGATCTTCGTTCTATGAATATGTATACACATACCAAATTTCATTCGATTCCATCAAAAAATCTAGTTTTTAGAGCGTTTACATGCAAAAGTTGACGGACCGACAGCAATACTCTCAAGTATTTTTGAGAAATGGGTCTTTAAGTATGACGGTATGAGAGAATTGTAATTTTAATCAGGCACAATTGAGAACTAACTACAATCATTAGAACCAAAATATATTCTTTGTCAGATACACTCGAAAAAAAATTACAAATAAAATTAACTTACTTTCTACTAAATATATAATCCATTTTAATATAAATATATAAAATTTCTCTTGATAATCCAGAAATATTACAACAAGTTGAGGTCCATAGTTTACATAATAATGATTATATCTGGTGACTGTCTAGTCTTAAATCCTGAAAAATAATTAACTTTCATTAGGGACAAGATCAGTGATTGGGGTACAGGGTGATGATCATCTTAATTTATCACATTTTTAATTGACACAAAATTAACAGAGCTTATCCCCATCTGTTATAGAAGAGCCTGTCTCAATTTCCATTGTTAACCAATTAAAATCTTATTAACTCTTACTAATTATCCTTCAATAAAAAGACTAGACCAAGAGACAGATATAGACCAATCTGTTATTGCACCTCTCAATTCACCTATAGGATAAAAAATATCAAAAGACTTTCTCAACTCTAGCCAATTACATCAAATTAAAATTATTCAAGACACTAACCAGGACATAGAGACAGATACCTAGATATAGATATCATCAATACCCAATTATAGAAAAATCTTAAAACCTTAAAAACACACACACTTTTAAGGACATTATTAAAGAAAATTATGTTGGCTACATCTCTCTTAGTTAAAAATTAACTGAAAAATATATAACTTTTATCAGATCAAAACTTTCAAGGATGGAAAAAATAGCAAGTTTTCAAAAGTTATTACTCAATTCTTAGTGAAAAGTCACATATAAAAACAGAAATGCAATTTTACCGATATTTAGGAAACATAAAAAATCTGTTCCATATAAATGACACAGAATAATACAATATCCACAAAGAAACAAATTTGTTACCAACAAATAGAGCTGTAGACAATTATCAAATCATAAATGATACAAAATCATAAGACAGTCAAATAGAGCACAGTTCTTACCAACAAGTTGCGATGTATAATTTCCTACCATCTGCCAGGAACTATAGAGTTAATTAAGTCAGGTAAAATAATAAATAATTAACGCTGTTCAAGGTAACTTTAGTCAGAGACAAGACCAATCTACCTGTATTGGATTAATCTTTAATCAGCTTTCATCTCTGATTTTTCTCGTTAGACTAATTAATTATGCATGAACAATTCTCTTAACTTTAATTACATTCCGTTGGTTATATATACAAAGTTATATATTGTCTCAAGGTGCGAAAAAACAAGGAAGGTTTCCAATATGGTGTGTGGTGTGTAGAAATTCAGATAAACAAGCCAAGTTCGTATCGTGTCCAGTCCTGTACGACATGTATTCCCTTCATCTATTTTCTACTGTATCAACACCACACTGGTCACTGTATCTTATCTATTCAGAGCTGTGGCTCTGTGAGTTAGACACCTGGTCGCTAACCTGAAGGTACCGGGTTCAATAACGGCATAGGTCGAGATACTAAGAAAATAAACCAAGGTCCTGTGTGCTACAGGCTGTGCACGTTAAAGATCCCTTGACAGATGTCCTGGCAAAGTTTCCCTCATTCATGGTGTTGTCCGTCTTCATTAGCCTACATAGTGCAGAAAAGTAGGATGTAAAACTTCATTCATTTCATTTCATATTCTTTATACAAGGCTATCAAATATAACATCACAAGGAAAAATAAAAAAAATACTCGTCCATTTGACAATTTTAAGTCAGTCATTATTCAAATTATTAAATTTAAAATTTTATGTAAGTTGAATATTTGTTGAAAGATATTTTCAATCGATGATAATTTGCAAGATTTATCGTCATGGCATGCTGGTATATTATTTAATTTGATTTTTTCAGTCATGAGATATGAAATGATTGGCTGCAAGCTTGTATAACATTACTTTTAATTGAAACTGCCATAAAGTGTGAATAAACAAGATCTTAAAGCAGCATGATTGAGAATTATAATTTCTACAACTAGTTGTTTATATTAGGTAACCTATCTTTTAGATTGTTAAAATTAACTAGTGGTTGCCTAGCAAGATATGCCCACTTTCCTGATACATTTTCTGTATATCAAGGGCGGTTACCAATCTTTGTCAAATCATACCAAAAATCTAATTTGTCACAACACCCAAAATTTCATAAAATTTCTCAAATTCCATTTATCAAAAATCATCAATTTTGAACTTGACCATCAAATCAAATAAAAACTGTAGCCTCTATTGTGTTCACAAACCAACTGTGGACAGATGGACGGACCAACAGAAGGACATGGGTGACGACAATTCAATGTGGGCATTAAGAAAATAAAAAAGATGTGTAAGTGATAACAACAAGAATTGTTTTTTTTATTAAAATGTCATTATTATCAAAGTTGATCCTGAGAATTGAATTCGCTGTAACATCAAATTACCAGATCATGTCTATTCTTTTCCAACATCCAATGACAAGTGATCTTTACTATGATATCAGGTCACTACTAGTAGGTAAATGAAATCATAAGATTATGACAAGTATTTTAATTGACTGGAATGTAGGGTTGGACCTTACACAATACAATACTATATAAGATTGGGCCATCTGTTACCAATAACAAGTCTTAGTAAGTTAAGTCAATTAAATTTGGACAAAGTAAAGGGAGGAAGCTTAGTAAACTTCATTCTGATTCATCAAATCAAATCACTTGAGACCTCGAATATAAACACAAGAGTCCACCTCATTTCCCAAATATTATGAAGCAATGGATCATTAGATATCATTTATAGAGCACCCTTAAACCCAACTGGTAAACTAGACACAACAATATCAAATTAACTTAAGATCTCATCAATATACACAAGTAATTCTGATCAAGTAACATAGATCCAATTCAATAGATAGAATGAAATAGATCATCAATATAATTATTTTTTTACAAAACATCACAAGTATTCATCAACTTAACAAACATTATGAAGATAAAATGCTGCTGGAATAGTAATGAGCGAACCACAAAAATCTTGTTGATGAAAAACTGGGAAATATAACAACAAAGTCAAACTCACAGTATATCTCATTAATAAACATAAGTAAACAAATTGTTTACAAAACATGGATATTCCTCTTCTTTCTTTACACAGAACTCCTGGTAATACTCAAAAATATAACCATTAAGTCAAAATAACATGAGATCTTATACACAGGTACACAAATTTGTTTACAAAACAACATAAATATTTCATCTATTTTATAAATATTTTGAAGGTAAAGTACCAGGTAAGGTATAGATGAGCGTCACATAAGTCCTGGTGATGATAAACTTGAAAAAAAAATAACAAAAGTCACGATTAATTGAGATCTTATCTTGTCCACGCACTATAGTAGACACAAACAATTTTGTTTACATGATATTCACCTTCTTTCTATTCTAATTTAAGTCACTGTTCCTTTATAGGTCATATCTTTAATCAAATAATCATTTTAAAAATCACAGCACTGTTGGAATTTGAGTCATTGACAGTTCTGACGCATTTACTAAATTTCCATGTGTCATATTTGAAACGAAGTTATGAAAGAAACAAAGTGGTTGCCCAATAGAAACTGTGAGAATATATGATTAACTTGACTTGAAAAGTGTGACAGGTGTTCAAAGTCTGAAAACGGCTGTTGGTAATTTTACGACAATTGACAATTAAAATCAATAAACGAATGGACTGCAGATAATTCATACTGTTATATATATAGATATACATTCAGATCAATTTGAATAAAATACGACCCTATATTCTCATGTGTACTTTTTCTCAGAGTTCTTTTACTACAACATGACTACAATACAGCTCTAGATATTTCATTGTCAATTTGATTAAAATACAGCTCTAGATATTTCATTGTCAATTTGATTAAAATACAGCTCTAGATATTTCATTGTCAATCTGATTAAAACACAGCTCTAGATATTTCATTGTCAATCTGATTAAAATACAGATTAAAATACAGCTCTAGATATTTCATTGTCAATCTGATTAAAATACAGCTCTAGATATTTCATTGTCAATTTGATTAAAATACAGCTCTAGATATTTCATTGTCAATCTGATTAAAATACAGCTCTAGATATTTCATTGTCAATCTGATTAAAATACAGATTAAAATACAGCTCTAGATATTTCATTGTCAATCTGATTAAAATACAGCTCTAGATATTTCATTGTCAATCTGATTAAAACACAGCTCTAGATATTTCATTGTCAATCTGATTAAAACACAGCTCTAGATATTTCATTGTCAATCTAATTAAAATACAACTCTAGATATTTCATTGTCAATCTGATTAAAATACAACTCTAGATATTTCATTGTCAATCTGATTAAAATACTGCTCTAGATATTTCATTGTCAATCTAATTAAAATACAACTCTAGATATGTCATTGTCAATCTGATTAAAATACAGCTCTAGATATTTCATTGTCAATCTGATTAAAATACAACTCTAGATATTTCATTGTCAATCTAATTAAAATACAACTCTAGATATTTCATTGTCAATCTGATTAAAATACAACTCTAGATATTTCATTGTCAATCTGATTAAAATACAGCTCTAGATATTTCATTGTCAATCTGATTAAAATACAACTCTAGATATTTCATTGTCAATCTGATTAAAAAACAACTCTAGATATTTCATTGTCAATCTGATTACATATTATATTGTGTACTTTTTTAGGGTTATTTTAAGACAATATAATTAAAATACATCCCTAGATATTTCATTTTAATAAAGCTCTAGATATTTCATTTTAATAAAGCTCTAGATATTTCATTTTAATAAAGCTCTAGATATTTCATTTAAATAAAACTCTAGATAATTTGGTGCCAACAGAACTCTACATATTTTAAAGCTAATTTGACTGAAATACAGCTTGCCAATGATATGAAAGTTGTTCCAAATATGATAAATTAAGCAACTTGGTGCAGGATCCATGTCCACCAAAAGAAATCTCTACTTATCTCATAATATTGAACTCAAACCAGACTGTTTGGTATCCGGGGTAATAATGAGGCTACAGAGATTAAAGTGAGATAAATTCACTGGCAACTCACTGGACTGACTACCCTGATCACAGTTCGTCCATTGTCCAGTGAAACGGTTTAAACCAAATCAGAGAATACAATAGTTTATATTCTAATTAGGCCAATTAAAGAGTAACATCAGTAAAATCAGACAACAATTAAATAAAGTATCATATATAGTCTATTAAAGTTTTTATCTACTGAATATAATGCCTAATACAAATTTCAGCATGTCATTGATAACTTCAAATAGACATCAAATCTTATAAAATAAATGATAACCTTTAAAAGTAAAATGCTGTTTCATGGTTTTATCTACTGAACAGGTTTCTATTCTGTGATGTTACAAAATTACTTATTGTCATAACAAAACAGTTTTATAAAATCCAAACTATTAGAAACAAAATTGTATTTTTTATTAGAATGGCATAATTTTTCTTATTCATTTCTAAATGATTGTAATATTCAGGCAGTATTCTGATTTCAATATTGGATTGGTACTAGATTAACATGACAATACCAGCAAATAACCAGGTGTTTAATAAGTATACTAGATATATAATACTTTTATCAAGTTGAAGACTCACCTCATCTCATCGTTCAGGTTCTGTGAAAAACTCCACAAAGTACCTTCATCAAAATCTGAAACATGAAATGAAAGTAATTCTACCAGTGCATAGAGAGAAAATTCATAAAACTCCATGTAATTTCCACAAAATCAGAAATTCTTTTCTATTGCTTCCACATTAAATAAACTAAGTAAAATTAATCTGCAACATAATTTTTAAAATAAAATGTCAAGTTTAAGTTATATTCAATATCTACAAGCTGGTATTCAGAATGCAATATTAAATACCTGATTGATTGAATAAAAACTAAATACATACTGTATGACATCTGCTGGCTGCCTTAAATCATTCTCTTTAAATAGATCTTTATCATAATACTGTCAGACCACATATATCCGTTTTCCATTTCATAATAAATCGCAGGCAAACCAGGATCAGTTTGTCAAAAACTTAAAAATTTGATTCCAAGAAATGCTGTTTTCTGATGGAATTAACTATATTAAATCATTTCTAAGACCAATCAATAAGATGACCATAATACCTATTAACTTGAGTTATGGTTTTGGGGAAATGGGCATAAAAATTACTAAACTGGACCTTTTGTCTCAAGTAAACTATTTTTAAAAAATACAACAAATAAGAAAGATAATTTATAATCATAACAATTTTATAATCATAACAATTTTATAATCATAACAATTTTATAATCATAACAATTGCACTTTATTATTTATTCAATAACAATCACCATAAAAAAAATTGATAAAAAAATATAATCCATTGTAAATTTGAGGAAAGGGAAAGAAGAAGGGAGCCTCTTGTCAATGATCTTTTAACTATTCCAGTTTAGACGAGGTCTTTCTCAGAAAAAATACATATTCAGTCATATAATGTATTTTCTTTTTGTATTCTTTTTGAAAATGTATTGTAAATCAACAACAATAAAAAGACGATTAAAAATATACCTCCTTCTGTTCCTCAATTCCTTACAAAAAATGCAATAAATGGGAAAATACTCATTAGAAACGATAAAATAAAAGATACTTTGTTAGTCAAATTTGTCCAGAAAGCACATTATTTTTCACAATTAATAATAATCTTGACTCCTTTTCCCTCTTTTGCCATCTGAAAAGCTTCTAAAGCCTGCTCCAGTTTAAATCTGTGAGTCACGAGAGGCTTCACATTAACTTGTCCTGATGCTACCATAGCTAGAGCTGTAGGATAACTGTAAATAGAGAACAAAATATTGTCAAGGGTGTTAATAGTGAAATTCATACAGTGGTTGAACTGGCTGCAGATTGATTTGTTCATCAAATTGGTCATGATATGCTTTGTAAAGTATTTCTTTAAAGAAAAGACTAGCCCCCATTTCTCAAAAAGTCTTGTTTTGTTTTGTAGAAAGTATGGAAAATCTGAAAGGAATATTCCACAAATTGGACAGATTTCCATTGTTAGATTTTAGAGAAAACTGTAACCTGTTCTTATGGATCCTCCACATAACTTATAAAAATTAACTAACAATAAGCTAAAATGAGCTATTTAAAAGTCAGTCTGCTTCATCCCTACATCAATGTTGCTATTGATTTCAATCAGTTGACTAGGGGACTATGACTTACCAGTTGACATAACGGAATATTCCTCGTATATCTACTTCACGAACACTAGCATTAACTATAGGTAACTCTACATCAGCTGGTCCTAATCCTACCAATACTACACAACCTCCAGGTGCTGTTGCCTACAATTCATTAAATAGACTAACAGTAATTATTATACACTCTGAGTACAGAATCACAATGAACTGATAGAATTATGGTGAAGATGATAAACCGTTTCATAGTAAATAATTATACTAAATGAACACTATCAGCAATATCAGGCCTTATCTTACAAATATGTATTTCTGTGTTCAAGTAATAACTGAAAAATTTCAAACTTTCCAAGTAAACATGTCTTTTTAGAATTTAAAATATGAAACCAAATCATCAAATGTCTAGGCATCAAATCTATTAAAGTTTTTTTACAATATTTATTTAGGTAAAATTCGTAAATAGAAGTTTACCATTTATCTGAATACATGTGACAAAATCTTGGACCATTATGTAAGCCAGAAAAAAATACTTACGAAGATTCCAGTTCTAATACTGGGAGGAGCCCCGCTACATTCTATAGTGATGTCAACTTTATCACCCATTATTTCTTCAATCTGATTGGCTGTAACTTGAGGATCTCTACTCGTTACTTTTAATATATGATTTGCTCCTAAACTCTTCGCAAAATCTAATCTGGATTGGTCGATATCTAAAAGCAAAAACACAAAAACATGAACTAAAAATAGTATTTCAATATGTAGCACATACAAAATAAGTTCACATGTGGGCCATATGGGAGATAACCTTGAAATATTATTAACGTCTTTATATTATTATACTCATTACTGAGTTTTCTTCAAGATGGGGTGAGAATTAATAACTGTGAGAGATATATGTTCCAAAGCTAGTTGAGGTCACAATTGGCGTGCATTATACTCACAATTATACAGTAAACATCACTTACCAGTCATAATAATTTCAGCAGCTCCTCTAGCTTTAGCTGTTAACATATTAACTAGACCAATAGGTCCAGCTCCACAGATTAACACTCTAGAACCAATCTCCACACCAGCACGGGCACAGGCATGTACACCAACTGACAGTGGTTCTAACAGAGCTCCTTCTTCATTACTCACATGGTCTGGTAATCTACAATAATTGACAAGTACAAGGCTTTGGATAAACCTACACATGCATAACCACCTTGAGCTTTCAAGTATCAGCCTGTGGACTATTAAAGCAAGTTTTGTTATACTGGTACATCTATGATTAAAGTAAATACAATGTCTTGCTATGTTTGAAAATATTATATACCTATAATAGGTCTACAATTTACAAAGATTTACAAGAAAGATTACTTAAATCAAGCATACTAACTGATATTCAAGCTTTTCAAACTTAAATCATATTCTTATTATGACTTAGTTTTATTTTCTCCCAAATCTAGTTCAAGCATCTCAATAAGTTATTTCAAATGCTGTAGAATCTTAAATCTTACTTGTAACAGTAATCAGCATCATGACAATAGAATCTAGCTAGATTTCCATCATAAGGTGGTGTAGCACAGAACTTCATATCTGGACATAGATTATATCTTCCCTTCTTACAGTATTTACACATCTTACATGGTACCCCTGGTTCAATAGCCACACGATCTCCTGAAATAGTACAATAATTATTGGAATATTGGTCTATTATGCTCTTCATACTATTTCTATTATTCTCCAATGTGTCTCTATATTTAATTGCAAAACAATCAAGGAATAGTAATCCTAAGGGTTAAGATTATCTGCCAAAAAGAGAACTCCTTCTTTCACCATTTGATTCATTTTTAAACCATTTTCCTTGAAATCTATTTGGATGCTGCCTCAAATATATTGCCCCCAGTCCTGCCTTGACAAAGTCAAATACCAGAAATTAGGTACCTATATCAATTTAAACATTAGGTACTCAATAAAGATGAGCATGCCCTACAAATATCTCCAGAAAATACACTCTCCACAATTTCCCCAAATGTAAAACTCCATCTCATATAGGGGAAGACTCAAGAGTAACATATCCCTAACTTACCAACTTTCAAAGTAGTAACTCCTTCTCCAAGTTTACAGACTACGCCTGCTGCTTCATGTCCCAATATCATAGGAGCCTTGACGATAAAGTCTCCGATAGCCCCATGAGTCCAGTAGTGTACGTCTGAACCACAAATACCTACATCTTTCATACTCAGTTGTACCTCTAGAATACAGAGAAAACTGCCAGTAATATATATTGGACTTCATGATTCACCATGAACGGAGGTCAAAAGTACACATAAAACTGACATTGATAAATATGAGACAAAAAGACCATGATTCACTATTTTCAGAGGTTGAATATACTTTGTTCTCAGATAAAGGAATTATATGATTTTCATACAGTTGTGGTACATCGGAAAACTCTTTACAGTTAATCAAGAGAAACAGAGAAAACTGTCACAACAAAAATGGTGATTTACGGCCTTTAAGTGATTATAACTATATTGTTTATTCCTACTCAAGTTATTTTTAATTCTACATTCCTACCAATGAGTTTTAAATTCATTATCAAAATAGCGAGTAATGACTGGTCAACTGGGACTCCAGTTCAACAATGGAAATATCAACCAGCTGAACACGTCTATGTAAATATATATACATAAAGCCCTGATAATACTTTTAATTGGAAGATTTTTGAGTGGAACAGGTGCTAGGTTAAAACTTACGTCCTGGGCCTGGCTCTTTGACAGGGAGATCTTCCTAAAAGTAGAAAAATAGGCTAAATTAAGGATTGAATGCCAGTAGCATCATAGGAACTTTCATCCATTCCACCAATTCTTTAATGAAATTTTTATATTTCAGATAGTTGAAAATACTAGACTGGTGTTGCATATTTAGGAATAAGCATAACTTTGTCATTTTATTCATTATTTAATAGAGACAGTAATGTGATCTTTAAAATATTATCTATGTACTTTATATTTGCATTAGAAACTGATCTCTGAATTTAAGAAAAACAGGTCATGGCCACAGCTTTAAAGCATAAATAATTGCCTAATAATCAAATTTAAGCTATCTGTATTACTCTAAATATAAGTTCTGACATCCAGTTTCTCTGCAATTCAGCAAAAACATATCATGTACAGACATTGTTAATAATATTATGTGACTGTTGCCTGTGAGAATGATAGTTACAACTGAATTTTTTTTATCAGATTTTAATTTTGAATAAATATTACAGATTGCTGAAAAAAGGCTTTTATCAATAGTCAATACTATCATAGAGATAGTGCCTGTGTTTATAAACCTGTTAATCAAATTTTCAGATGATAATATCAATATAACTTTCAAATGTCGAAAATCATATGGAAGCATTTTTGGAAAATATGAATCAATTCAGAGCTGAGGATCTAATTTTTGTTAACTATGATTTCTAAGAAATAACAAGTAACTTAAATAGTGCTTATTCAGCCCACTATATCAAAAGTTGGTGGCTTCCCTGACTACATATCCTATTCCAAAAAAATAACTAGTTGAAGATTTAAATCCAACAACCCTTTGATCATGTTAATTTGGGTTTTTTTTAACCCTAACCCTGACCTAATATGCACTTTATCAATCTTCAGGTTATCTGTATGACCTTGCCTTTGTCACTGTATACTATATCCCTGTCCTTGACATAGCTGAAGATAACATTTTAATTCAACTTAATCTGTAATTGAAGTTTTCAGGTTGGTTTTTATTTAAGATTAAAGTAATGTTTGACTACTCATATGAATATAATGGTGTTGGTCTACTATTTTAATATAATTAATTGAGATCTGTATTACATCTTTACCAAGGCTTATCAAGTAAACTTGGTCAGAGCCACTTTGCATATTTGGAAGTGAACCATGAATGGTTGGTTTCAGGCTCAGCACAAGAGACCAAGTAGGGTCCCTGCAAGCTATGACATGGTGTCCATCGTCAAGACCATGGCATCCAAAATGGTGTGAATGATCTTTTTAATTGCCCACAGGCACTAGCTTCTATTTCTCATTAGAGAAGCAATTATGATATCAAAATAAAGGATTTCTACTGACTCAACGACAAAAATATTCCATAGAAGAAACAAATGCCTGTGGGTTGTGTCTCCTGCATCAGGGCATAGAACTGTATTGTATACTGTTCTGTGATCAGGGCAATGAGGAGGGCTTTGATTGCGAATTACAAACGATCTAAAGAATAACACTCACCAATTTCAGGTCACCCTGCTTGTACAGAATAGCTGTTAGATTTTTGTCAGCCATTTCTACTTCAATACTTCTAAATTATCTACTATTTCTCTAAAATTCAAGAATATTTCGTACCCTGCTTGCATTTACACTGACAACATGACCTATTGAACTCAGACTAGATCGTCCAGACATTTTACTCAGTCTCCATCATTGAGTCCTTGTACATTTTCTATGGGCATCATTTTATTATTTCGGAAAATTTGTCTCTTTAAGATTGATATTCGATATCCCATGCAATTTGATTTTGTACAGTGTTTCTGTAATGAAAGAGTTTTCACTTTTTGGTGGCAAAACTATAGGGAAATAGTCAAATTTCTTGTTTCATTCAATATGGAGTTATTTCCCTTACCCCGACTACAGGCCACACTGTGCTTTGCACCTGAGGGACTCCTTGTAGTCCTACTATGCAAAATGACTTATAATATAACTCTGGGCTTATACACATGCACTTCATTTCAAATAGTCCAGGTATCTTCATGTTATTCTAACAGCATCAGTATTTCCCAAAATAAAAATCAAACCTTTGTATAGGTTAATAGTTACTATATTTTTTTACATAAAATATACATAATATATCAGATATACATAAGACCATCAAAAGATGTAATAAAATATATATTACCTAATAAAAATAAATATTAAATAAATGATAACGACAATGAGTTCCCTAAGAACCAGTTTATATAACAAGAACCAGTTTCTATAACCGAGGAACTAGCTTCTATAACAGAGGAACTAGCTTCTACAACAGTGGAACTAGTTTCTCTAACAGAAGAACCTGTTTCCATAACAAAGGACCAGATTCTATCATTTTCTGTTTAATGTCAATGATATAAAAAAAAACATTAAAGATAAACCAATTTATATCAAAAATTAACCAGTTTCAATCAATTTGTATTTCATGTCCAAAAAAAAAACCAGTTTTTATAAAAGATGAACCAGTTTTTATAAAAGATGAACTAGTTTTTATAAAAGATGAACCCGTTTTTATGAAAGATGAACCAGTTTCAATCAATTTGTATTTCATGTAAAAAAAAAACCACTTTTTATAAAAGAGCAATCAGTTTTTGTAACAAAAGAATCAGTTTCAATCAATTTCTATTTGATGTCAATGATATAAAAAAAACCCGTAGAACAATCAGTTTTTTTTTTTAAAAGGAACCAGTTTCTGTAACAGTGGAAACAATGTAATAGAGAAACAAGTTTTTATAATAAAAACAAGAAACCAGTTTCTGTAACGGAAAAACCAATTTCTATAACTGCGAAATCAGTTTCTAACAGAGGAAACAATGTAATAGAGAAAATGATGTTTGTGATTGAAAGACAAGTTTCTATATAACAAAAAAAAGGGACCAGTTATAGAGAAACTGGTGGTTGTAATAAAGAAACAATTTTCTACAACAAAGAAACCATTTTTATAACAGACTTACCAGTTTCTGAAACAGAGAAACCAGTTTGTGTAACAGAAACCAGTTTATGTGACAGAGGAACTAGTGGCTGTGATATTGTAACTGGTGGTTGTAATAAAGGAACAATTTTTCTACAACAAAGAAACCATTTTTTTTTAACGGACTAACCAGTTTCTGAAACAGAGAAACCAGTTTGTGTAACAGAAACCAGTTTATGTGACAGAGGGACCAGTTTATGAACAGAGGAACTAGTGGCTGTGATAGTGTAACTGGTGGCTGTAATAATGAAACAATTTTCTACAATAATGTAACCATTTCTTTTAACAGACTAACCAGTTTCTGAAACAAAAAAACCAGTTTATGTAGCAGAGGAACCAGTTTATGTGACAGAGGAACCGGTTTATGTAACAGAGGAACTAGTGGATGTGATATTGTAACTGGAGGCTGTAATAATGAAACAATTTTCTACAATAATGTAACCATTTCTTTTAACAGACTAACCAGTTTCTGAAACAAAAAAACCAGTTTATGTAGCAGAGGAACCAGTTTATGTGACAGAGGAACCGGTTTATGTAACAGAGGAACTAGTGGATGTGATATTGTAACTGGAGGCTGTAATAAAGAAACAATTTTCTACAACAATGTAACCATTTTTTTTAACAGACTAATCAGTTTCTGAAACAGAGAAACCGGTTTGTGTAGCAGAGGAACCAGTTTATGTAACAGAGGAACTAGTGGATGTGATATTGTAACTGGAGGCTGTAATAAAGAAACAATTTTCTACAACAATGTAACCATTTTTTTTAACAGACTAACCAGTTTCTGAAACAGAGAAAGCGGTTTGTGTGACAGAAACCAGTTTATGTGACAGAGGAACCAGTTTATGTAACAGAGGAACTAGTGGCTGTGATAGTGTAACTGGTGGCTGCAATAAAGAAACAATTTTCTATAACAAAGAAACCATCTTTTTTAACAGAGTAACCAGTTTCAGAAAAAGAGAAACCAGTTTCTGAAAAAGAGAAACCAGTTTCTGAAAAAGAGAAACCAGTCTCTGAAAAAGAGAAACCAGTTTCTGAAAAAGAAAACCAGTTTCTGAAAAAGAGAAACCAGTTTCTTTCACACAGGAACCAAGTTATGGAGGAGGAATTAAAAAAAAATTACTATCACAATTAGTATTATTAAAGATATCTTTTTGAAGATATTCAATTTTTTGTATAACAATGTATTTTGTTGCACTAGTTGGAAAAAAAGAATTAATTATATTGTCTATGACAAATAAAAACTTACTATTACAAACTTTTAAGTCAGTTTATGATAGTTTTCAGGAGAAAGTTTCATATTTGTTTTTTTTTGTTGGTTTTTGTTTGTATAACAATGTATTTTTTTTCTATTTGTTGCTCAATTTTGAAAAAAAAAAAGAAAATACATCAAGTATATTGTCAATGACAATAGAAAAATTACTATTAAAACTTTTTCATAAGTTATGATAGCTTTATAAGGATATTTCATTTGTTTTTATTATAAAAACACATTTTTTTTTTACTATTTGAAGCAGTATTAAAAAAAAAGAAGAAAATACATCAGTTATTTTGTCAATGACAAATAGAGAATTAATGATAGCTTTCTAAGGACATTTCACATTTTTTTGTATACAAATATATTTTGTTAATATTCGTTGCACGAAAAAAAGAAAGAAATACATCAAGTACATTGTCAATAACAATAGAAAAATTACTATTACAAACATTTTTATAAGTTAATGATAGCTTTAATGAGGATATTCCATTTTTTACTTGTATTAAAAGATATATATTTTTCAATATTGGTTGCAAAATTTGGACAAAAAGAAGGAAATAAATCAAGTGATTGTTGAAAAAGAAAGCAAAAATACTCCAAATTGGAAAACAATTGTGTATTGCACCTTTCTTCTTTAAATAAAATCTTTTTTTTTTTTTTTTTAACTAATTTCATAGTATCTTTTTTTCTCAATACACAAAACAGGTTATAAAACCTAATCTTTATGATTGAAGTCACAACCCAGTCCTGAGCTTTAATCAGATGTAACTCACAAATACATCAATAATACAGATGTCTAGTCAGACAGGCCTGGTATATAGAGCTCAATCAATTTAGCACTAGTAGGATGCTTAGTTTGGTTTGATGACAAGATAACGTTCACTTCCAGCTGATATCATTGACTAAAGCACCAGTCAGACTCAACTGACAGATATAGTTTGACCAAACGGCTAAATCAACAGCTTGATTCTCCACAATTTCATTCCTGCTTCACATTTTTTCATACGTTTCTATATGTTCACAAGTTTTACATTTTTTTGAATAAATATCTTCTTCCTCATCGTATGTTTCTTCCTGAAAATCATGTTCATGAAATGTTGTTCCTTTCCTCCACAAACTACTTCTAACAGTGTTTCTCAACTCTGAAACAAAAAGTGTTAATTTTAGTTTAAACAATCTCTCTACAAGGTTTCCTGAACCATTCTTGATATTGAGCATCATAAGCAATGTTTTGTGCCCCAAAAATATGATTCTATACATGCACACATAGAACAGTCTTCATTATTTTCAAGCAATATAATTGATAATGCACAAACAAGAACTTGGAATTGTACTGACAGGTTTCATTAAAATTTACAATTATTCTGCTCTGTAACACAATTTGAACTATCTTGTTGCTTTTCAAAAATTTTAATATTTTTTTACCACTTGATGATTCATTTTTCCTTAAAACAAAATAACCCAATTTATAACTCTTGTTCATAATAAGTATCAAATAAATATAAAGGGGAGATAATCTACCTTTTACTCTCTTATCAAATTTCTTTTGTTTAGCTTTATCTTTTTTTTCATTTCTGTTTTCTCTCTCTTCTTCAATGGCCTCTTCACTTCCCCAAACTTCCATCGCTCTTTCTTGAACCTTAAAATAGTGAAAACCAATTTGTACAGTAGAACAATTAAAAACCAAATCTGTGAGATGCAAGATGAGAAAACGGACAAGTTAAGCTTTGATCAAATTTTGGTTTGTTGGCCCAGAGGAAACAAATATTTCAAATGTTACGAAAAGGAATTAGCATGGAACGGAACAGAACTATTGCGAAAGTGAGGAAATTTACAAAAAAGATGATTTAAAGATTTTTTGAGAAGTAAGGATCTAAATACCTGTACCTGTTATAACAAACTAACCTGATATTCTAGAAATAGCTTCATATCTCCCCATCTGTTATTATTAGGATTCTTCTTCACAATAAATTTCAAAGGTGGTTCTCGTTTATCTAGATCAGCATCTTTCAATAAAAAACGATTCTTTGCATCTGTCTTGGTTATCAGGTCATATTTGTCCTTTTCTCTAAAACAATCAACAGAATTCGTGCTTAAATATTCTATATCCGGTGTGGACCAAGATATTACTTACAAAATTTTCTTTCCTTTTCAACAGAAGCATTTATCATCATTTATCATCAAAATTTAATCTCAGCCTTCTGTGGTTCACTGAGTCAATATAATTTTGTTTGAAGCAGTGAATTTTATTCAATCAAAACAAACCTTTTCATACAAAGCAGTTTGATATAAAATTGAATAAATATCTATTATTCAATAACTTACACCAATTCAACTGGCCACAGTGCAACAAAGTGTAATGTTATATTTGAGGATGTTGTGAAGAGACAATGAGTCAAGCTGTACATACCTACAGGTATCACAAGCAGGAATGTTAAAATGAGTATAAATATAGGAATCCAGGAATTCTTTTTCACAAGACTCACAGAATATATTATCTACTGCTATAACTGGTGCTGAAATATACAATAAATATTTTCAGAACTGTATAACTATTCCTTTTGGGCCATAAAGAGTCAATGACTAAATCTTTTCTCGACCTGTTCAAAAATATAAAAAAATAAATTTTAATAATATAGTGAGGTCAGCTTGTTTTTGACATGAATTCTAAAATCAGTCATATTTCTGAGAAAAAAAATTCACTATTAGTTTTATTTGAATCTTTTTATTATAATATAAATAATTCAAACAATAATTTGTCAGTTGGCCACTTTAATACACAGGCTTGATCAACGAAATGGATTTTTCTACTTAACTGCCAGTCCCGTTGTTAGGGTGGGATCCGTTGGGAATGGTCTCCAGAAAGTGAGAATTAAGCCCCAGCAACCTTCTTCAGTTCAGCAGAGATTGATTTATTTACAGTGTCTTTGTACAAAAATTGAAAACATATAGACTTTTGATACGTTTTTGGCACCTCAAAATTGTCAGAAATGAGTTCTCTGGGCCTAATCCTTCACATTTTCTGCGTACAAAATCTGAGCCCCCGCACCAATTCCAGGTGACGGGGCTGTTAACAGCTTTTAATTTCACTGTTAAAGACCAGCAACATCACAGAGTGTTCAATGAGCGAAATCATGTCTAGTTACATACCTGGCTGATGTTTAACTTCTAATTTTCCTGTTTTAATTTCTTTGTTATCTTCTTCAATAAAAAACCCTGAACCAGTATCAACTTCTCTTGGTGCTGCCTGAACTTTGTGACTGGAAGAAACAATAAGATTTTACACACCTTTTAACACACTGATAAAGGCTTCTTGAGCTTACAGATAAGATAATCAATAAATAATTAAGAAATCAAAATTAACAAACAACTTAAAAACAACAAGGGGAAAACAAATCTATACTGCAAGAAATGGGAGATGGGAGATCTACTGGACACCCAGAAGGAGTACATGGAAATATAAGTAAGGGGAATTCTCTTATTGAGAAACACAGTCGGTTAGAGCGTTGGTTCTTAGCATGACATCATTTGCTTGGCAAATGTGGGCTGTGGGTTCAATTCTCGATGGGTGTGTGATAGTCTGATTACCTTGAAAAAGTCATCTTCACTCATAATTCCAGTCGACCCAGGTGTAAATGGGTACGGATAATCCAGGAAAGATTAATGTCAAGAGGTTTGGCCAACGACCAGCTGGTAGAGAGGATCCTTAACTGTTATCCTTGTAAAATACAGTTGTGTCATTCTTAATGGAAGGTAATAATGAATTTGAGGATGATTCTTACCTTTCTTTACCAATAGTATAAGGTCTATTGGCTAGTCTAGCTTGTTTCAATAGTAAAGCTTTCTGTCTATTTCTCTCTACTCTAGCCCTCTGAGCTGGTGTCAATTTTATGGGCTCTTCTTCTGATGGTTCACCTACAATTTCAAACTCTATCATTTTAAGATGCCCCTTTTTTATTACCCTTTAAAAATCTTATACTGAAGACAGACACTGTCATGCAGTGTACAAGGAGGGAAATACAACTACGTACATAGTATCAATGTTATCAAATCCTAATGTCTGGGAAGTCTTGCTTACAAACCACATCTGTCTTTCTACCAATTATGATGATCATACAGTTTTTCCACCAATGGGCACCTAACACTCAAGCAGGTACCATGGTATGTACCAAAGTACAAAGCGATGGAGTTAATAATAAATTCAGGGTACATTTTTATACACTATATGAACCCAGGCATGGGCTCATTAAGAAAATGCTGTGGTGTGGGCCAAAGGTAAGACCTAAAGTGCCAAACCCCTTTGATGCCCCTTAATATTCACTTCAAAATAGGTAAAGGCCGAGAAGGAGGCCATGTCGAATGGTCCACCTCCTAAACACTGAATATCAGGTAATCAATATCTTTGTGAATCATCATTATTTTCTGTACAAACGGTTTCATATTAATTGTAAGATATATTACCCTGGGTATCCAATTCTTTTGTAGATGCCATTTCAACTTTAAAAATTGCAAATAACACTTACAACTTCATATATTTTCTAAACCTAAAATGAAATTAATTTCTCATTACCTTGTTTTACAAAATATGTTTTAGTTGTATAGCAAGAGAACCAGGAAATAATAAATTAATGGTAAGTATTTACCGAAACGACCAAGAGTAACAGGCGAAATGACCCCGTACCGAACTGACTTATCCCACTGCTTGTGTAAGCATATCAATATAACTATGTCAATATAACTATGTCAATCACATCAAATAGCAACTAGGCCTGTTAGGCTATCTGATTTCTTTTTATGTTTTTTATCCACTAGAAAATTTAGGTCTTATTACTTATCAATGTCAAGTCCGCGTATCAAGAGAGATACAATTCTTATAACTCGTTGATTTTACGCACCCATTCATAAACAAATTTCAATCTTCAAGTGCGTAAGCGATTGAAATACATAGCTTACATCATTAACAAAAACATAAGCACTAAATGGAGTTGCGTCCCTTTAACTATAAATCGAAAGAAACGTTCATTCTCCGTTGTATTAGTACTATTAGGCTAATAAATAACGTTGTTCTAACGCTTAAGTAATTGTGCTAACGCTGTAATATCGAAAGAAACATTAACCTTACGTTTGCCATATCATATAAAAGAGAAAGAAATTCAAAAAACACACCATTAGTTACAGCAGACTTTGATTAAGGAGAGGTTTTGTCAGTCTAGAATGGAGTTAATTCCACGACCTACGGCTAAAAGAGCGCAAAATGAATTGGATAAAGATGGATCAAAATGGTATTGTCGCACTTGTAACCTTCAATGTGAAAATCATAATATATTTCTCAACCATTTGACGACGGAAAATCATCGTCAGCGGAAGCATTTTTCACAGAATTTTCAAAGTTCTGAAAGACAAAATTTGTCTGAAAAATTTGTTGACGGTTTTATAGAAATATTATCGAAATTTAAAAGAAAACGGGTACCTGCTAGAATGGTGTTTAAGGCTTACAACTTACAAAGCAACTCTATTTCATTAGAGAACACGCAATGGAAAACTATACCCGAGTTTCTCTACTGGTTGAAATGCTGCAAAAAATGCCAGGTGAATGAGACATTTGAACTTATTCAAGAGTTTGACAAAGAAACTCCAAAAATCGACACGATTGAACGGCAAAAAAAGTTCACGAAAGTGAAATCACACAGTTTGTGTCCATATGTAAGAAAAATGCTGAAACTTGACAAAAATAAGAAGCGCAATACGGTAACTTCTGAGAAGAGAAAGTTGTCCAGAGATCCAAATGAAAAAATCAACTTCACCCTCTCAAAGTGTTCAAGAAAGAGCAAAGAAACACCGCCTATCAGCGAGTCTGAAAAACACAGCACAGAAAACGCATCTGAGTTGAACCACCAAAGGCTGTCGTTTAAGATAGGCGATATGAGACCGCCATCCGACGCTGGGGATCATCTTGACGACTTACTAACTGATAAAGAGCCGACGAAACTTAGAGAACATATTGGAAAAGAAATGAACAAATGTATTAATTCCTTCAGTTCTTTTTCAGACTTGAAAATCAAAGAAAACTCACCGAAGTCCACAAAGAGGAAAAGAAATGCTCTAGAAGACATTAAAATGGAACTTGAGTCAGAAAGAGACCACCTGAACAGGACATTGAGTTGGGTAACCCTTGGTTTACAGGTTAGAATATCGTCAAACTTTGCTGGGAAACAGAACATTGGTAAATTCGGAACCGTTGTATATTGTTCAATCTCTGAAGATAACTATTTGATTTTACTCACAGACTCGAATGAGACTGTCAGTGTCCGTCAGCAAGATTTACAAACAGTTATACCCAATCTGGGTTCTCCTGTACGTATCGTTAACGGTGGGTATCGAGGTTTAAATGCTATATTAGATTCTGTAAATAAAACATATTTAGCAAGTGTGCATATCACTAATGGATTGTTAAGCGGTCGAGTTCTCAATAATGTCCATCTCAATGATATTTGTGCTTTTACAGATGTTACATTTAAGTGAGTTTTTCGGTGAATAGTCGTGCCTAAAGCCTATAGTTTCCCGTTTCTGGGCACCAATCTTTAATGATCTAAAAGGAATCATATGTCGGATTTTCTATATGACTGTTGATACGAGTTTAAAATGTTGATGTTTGCTTGTGTGTGCGCGATTATTGAATTAAATTTGTTGAAATTGGGTTGTGATTCTATCAATAATAGTACGGATAGCTGAAATGGAGCTGTTTCAGCTCGTATAGTATAGTAAATATTGCAACCACTATAACCCTTTGACTATGTATTTGATATGATGTGATGTATATATTATGAGTATGAATAAATATATTATGTTTGATGATGTTTTTAGTCTCGAAAAACACAATAATTTCAACCGAAATTTCACTGACTGCTGATGCCGCACTGGTCTATGAGCCAAGAATTAAGAGTCAAGGATATGATCTGTGCTACATAAACTAAATACTCATACAGCACCCCCATGGTAGATCCCATACCCATTCCCCTACGTCTCCCCCAACGACAAACGCCCAACAACACACATATAGTATCACAAATGTTATTGATCCTGCAATATAAAAATGTCAAACGTTTGATATGTCCACTAAAAAGCAATGTGACAAAGTGATTAGGTGTTGTCTGTCGCTAGATACACAGAGTTATGTCCCTTGATTAGCACAAGTTTATGTGACGTTTTATACAGAGCCACACAACTTGGCGCGTGAAGAAGACACATTTTAGAGCTTTTCCTACAAATATTTCTCTGTTATGGCTCCTAAAATGAAATTTCAAGAAGGTAACACTTAAGTATAGCAAATGCAGACCTCTGCTTTGCCTTGGACCTTTGATTTATTGGCTTTTTGTCTTCAATTTTGATGAAATAATTGACTCCATTTTTTTTTTTATAATTATGTGGGATTATTTACATTTTGTATTTATCAACATTGTACTGAACAAACAGTTTTATAGATTTGACTTGACTAAATGAAATGAGTTAAGGTTGACAGCTGACTGACTCTCAAGCATCAGAGATGAGTGTCAGTGATATTTCATATATATTTTAAGCTATGTAATTGAGTTGGATTGAAGTTGGACAGAGTCTCTTTCTTTTGCTTGAAAAGTCAAAAGTGCTTATCGCTTTTCCGCAGACATCCATAATACTGATACTGACACTGAAGTCTGGCTAACCGACTGTGATTAACTAGTGCATGATAGATCTTTTTAACAAGTCCAATTTTCAATGAGGAAAGTTAATTATTTGCATGAAAATGGCCACAAAAGTTGCTTGTGTATGGAGTAGGCATTGAAGCCTATTTTTGTATTTTTAATCGTTTATGTTTGGTTATTTCAGGAGAAAAAGTTCTATGTTTTCACGGCCCTCTTTTATATGAAGCTAAGGTGGGTATTGTATTTATGTATATAGTTATTTGGTTTATTTAAAGTTTAGTGAACTATGTCATCAACTATGTAATTTAGCAAAGAGTGGCACCATCGCCCTCAGAAATTATCGTAGTTCAGTTAAAATATCAGTATAATTTTAAAACCTAATGCTAATAGGACTTTTGAAGATGATAATCTCCATTGGATATTTCGACCACACTTTTCTTCAAAAAGAACAAAAAGTTTAAAATTATATCTATTTTTCAGTGTGTGAAGTCAGAAGTGAAAGACAAATTGGTTAGATATTTTATACATTATAATGGCTGGAATAAAAAGTAAGTGTACCTGTCAATACTAGTATTTCACAGTTCACTAGTCCTAGTTGATATTTGTGAAGGAATTATGCGATTTTCATACATTTCTAGTACTTCTGAAGATTATTTACATATATTCAAAACCCAAATAAACCCCCGAAAATGGTGAATCTGATCTTTAAGGACAAAGTTTTTGATGATGTTGTCATATTCTAATGAATGTGATTTCTTTATTTAATTAATTTGAAATTTTGTGTCTTTAAGTTGGGATGAATGGGTCCCTGAAGCCAGAGTGTTGAAATGTAATGAAGCAGGATTACAGAAACAAAAAGAACTGTTAAAAGCTCATGCAGGGTAAGTAAGGACTATAATGACTTGACTCACACACATATAACATATCTATTGATATATTAATGTGGTGATGCATATTGAAATGTCTTCAGGTATTGTTCAAACTAAAGGAAAGTTAAAGGAAAGATGTTGGTGAGGCTTCGAATATTTACTCTTAGATGAACTAGTAAATATTATCATACTAAAACAACAATTATAAGAAAGTAGATGACATTAATGAACAAAAAACAAGATATGAGATAAATTCTGATAGATTTGGAGAATAGATACTTTGAATATTAAGCTATAGGCCTATGTATATATATGTCTTTTACAACAATTTGTGAATTAGTGATTAAGTTAATCTCATTTTATTAGGAACACAAAGAAAGCAAAAGCCTCAAAGAAAGAAAAAGACAAAGAAAAGGACAAGGAGAAAGACAAAGATAAAGAAAAAGCATCCAACACGTCCGAAAAAGAACCTGCTCCTAAAAAATCTAGAGGTAAAATTTTATTTGGCTTTAGAAAAGTCGATATCTTGGTCTGTCCTGTGCACAATTCTGCTTGTGAAAGTTTGTACTTTTGTTATGATTCATAATGAATAGACTAGGCATGAATTTTCTATCTGTCCTCATATGTCTGAAGAATAAGATGAGATTGTTTATGGACAGTGCCTTATTGTATCCAATGACATCCTTATATCTAGACTTCTATTTATCAAGCTTATTTCTAATACTATGAAGAGTAATAAGGTGTAAGAATACTTTATAACAGATAACATTAAGTATATGTTATGTGTTCAATTCGTACACCAAGAGAAACGGATTTTGCCTCGATGTCAATTTGAGATTTGTTTGATGTCGGCCGAGGAATCCAACATAATCCTCAATATTTGTGCCTAGTACTAAAGACAAATAACTAATAATTAGATAGTAACAGACTACAGTTCATATAATAGGTTTAATGGATGTATTTTAGTTATCAAAAACAAAACATGCAAGAGAGGTAACAGCAAAATGAAAGCATTACAGACAACAGTTAATATAAGCATATGGTAATGATGAACACAAAAAAAAAAATATAAATATCAAATGATAAATATTACAGGTGCCCCAGCAGCCAGATCATCCACACCCGTCCCAGAATCATCCAGCAGCACTAGTGTAGCATCGAATGAACCAAAGAGAAAACGAGCCAGGACAGCTGATTCCACAGTAGAATCTGTAAGACCTAAAAAAGTAAATGTAGTCTTTTTAACTAGATAGAACTATAAAACTTTCTTTCTTTTAACTATAATTCACTAATATACACTCTTTATTTCTGTTTGATTTATTTTGTGTGGGAAGGGAAAGATTGGTCAACAATCATTGTATTTCTTTTCTTTTATTTGATAATACATTCTGTTATTTATTGCATGTTATAACCAAATATGTAGTCAATATCTAATTTTTGAGCTACACTCTCACTGTATATACTAAGTCTAAATGCATGATCATCTTGTTAGCTTATTATTGATAACCTGTTAGTTTGTACTAGATTGTACCATAGCATCTTAGCCTATTGATAGCTTATTGTCTTTGACTTAAGGATTGGAATTTAGATATCACCCAAAGTCAGTGCCAGTATCAGCTTTTTAAAAAGCTTTTTCCTAATAGAAGTTAGTTTTCATCCTTTGATTTACTTTAATGGTATTGCTAAAAAATGTGCCGAAAGTAAAGTTTAAGAAACCGCGCACCCTCTCACCATCCTCCCATTTCAAAGCAACTTCAATTTGTATACCTGAAACATTTGTCAATATCTATAACTTAACCCTTTTGAAATAGTATATTTTTCTATTGTAATATGATACGTTTTTGACCCAACTTGAGAAGATCTGTGTTATTTTTACAGGAAGAGTCATTCCTGACAAAAATAGAAGTAAAAATCAAAATTCCGGATGAATTAAAACCATGGTTGGTTGACGACTGGGATTTAATTTCAAGACAAAAAATGGTAAATATTCTCTCATTTATCCAATCACTTAGAAAAATCACTTTTCTGAACATCATTTGTACATTTTGGTAAAGGCAATCTTTACTGGTATTGGTTAAACTGTCGCTGTCTAAATTAAGTTTCCAGCCTCTTGATTAAATAATGCAAAATCACATGGTACTCTTGATATTGGCAATGTAATTTTGTTGAAACATAGTGCACAATTAAACCAAACACTAGAAGTACTTCTCTACATAATGTTAATTATGGATGTGTCTATTGTAATTTAAACGTTAATAATTTCAGCTGGTATCATTGCCATGTAAACTGTCTGTAGATCAGATATTGGATGATTATGTGAAAGCTAAAACAGCCAAGGGAAATAACCCAAACAAGTAAGTTGTCAATTAATTGTCTTTCAGAACAGTCCTTTTGTGCAATTTTCTATTCAACTTCTGTGTTCTTAACTATGTAATCATTGAGGAAATTCTAGAGAAAATATATTGTCAATCCTAAATGTCTTTCCAAAAATGTATTCTATACAAGACGAACCAAGTTGTGGAGTGTCAGTGGGTGTTCTTAATTAAGCATGGCCTGCGAGGTGAGAAACTCCCTCTGAAGAATTACTGAAGTAAAACACAATAAAGAAAGGGTATTATTTTAATTTTCTAGAGATGCTATAATAGAAGTAACTAAAGGAATCCGAGAATATTTCACTGTGATGTTAGGAACACATTTATTATATAAATTTGAACGGCCACAATATAAAGAAGTAAGTAACCTATTATATAAACATAATTCTGTACAAATTTTTGTAACAAAAAATGTTATTCCTATGATCTATGAGTTTTAGCCTAACATTTCAAAACACATCAGAAATGATAATTAATAAAAACCGAATCAGCATCCCTGAAATGACTCCAGAGGTTCGAAGAAGTCCAAAAATTATTTTTAAGATATTTTCCTTGTAGATTTTAACAGACCATTCTAATACACCTATTACTAGTATTTATGGTGCCACGCATTTATTACGATTATTCGGTAAGATATTTCCGTTATATATGCAATTGAGATTTTGATTTGACCTTTTGCTTTTTTCTGGCAAAATAATACAGTTTAATGTATTTATCTAGTAGTATTTAATACATCTAATTGTAAATGTAAGAGAAAGCAGTAGTTGTTATGAATTAATAAATAAATTGAATGATTATTTGCAGTGAAGTTAGGGGGAATGTTAGCCTATACAGCGTTAGATGAAAAAAATGTTCAGTTGTTATTAACTCATATTCACGACTTTTTAAAGTAAGTGTTGTTTTGTTATTTGACTCTAAGTGAATGTGATTTGTTTAAGAGTGTGAAATATCAGCAGTGGTCTATCTGGTTTAGGTATCAGGGGTTGAGAGCAGACACCAGATTGACTCTCGAAAGCACATGCACCAGAATTTTACTTACGTTAAGGAGGATTCAAACCCACCTCACTTTATTGCCTGTCAACAATCCAACTTGCAACTGTCTGAGCTATCCATTGGGTGATTGCTGTAATTACAAAAAGCAAATTGTGTGATCACTATTTATAATCTAAAAAGAACTCTTGACCACATGTAGCTATCTTTTGCTAAATAAATGTTATGTACTGATGAAAAGTTGCATCTTCAGAAAAATATTTCAGATATTCAATTTGACCAAAGGATATTGCAGTTTTGTTAATAGAAAGAAAATCTGTGATAGTATACTATCTCTAACCAGATGTATTATTGTAATGTATTTATAATCTAATGCTCTGATGTTTTTCTGTTTTTTTTCTTCAGATATTTACATAAAAATTCCTCGACCTTGTTTAATATTAAAGATTATACAGTGGCGCCACCAGAATATCATCGTAAAGCTCTCTGATTGGTCTTTTGTTACAGAGGCTCCATCATCATACCATCGTAAAGCTCTCTGTTTGGTTTCTTAAATACAGTGGATTTGTGAACCTATATAAGTTTAAGAGTTTATGGAGAATTTTCAAAGGGATTAATATCTTAAATCTTCAAGAGATCAGCCTCTTGTCGAGAAAGCTCCTGTCACCCTGAATAATAGAAAATATTATGTATCAAGTACAGAGAGACAGATTTTCCATTGAATAGATCAGTAAATACGGATGCTCTGTGCTCTGTAGGTCATGCACATTTCAAATCCCTCAAAATTTTTCAAATAATGAAAAAATTATTTCATTTGCTAATAATTGAAACTTGAAAGATGTACATCATTATGTTTTGTTAGACTTTTCAAAGTTAAATTATGTGTTTCTACTGAACAGTTTATCTTCATTACATCAATTGTAAATATATTTTAAGGAATATTTCAGCTTTAATTAAATTCTTAGCTGTATTGTTTAAATAACAGTTATCTGTAACATTTTCCATTTCCACTTTAATTAAATTAAAACTTAACACTACACTTTTGTCATTATCATATTGTACTTATCATTCTCATGTGCAGCTACTATCCATAACATCATCATCCTCACCAACAGTAATACTTGCTGGCGTTTAATTGGACAGTTCTAAACAGGTTCCATCTATTCAAATTCTGTCCTCAATAGAACAGTATTTCAAATTTTCCCCCTCCTCCATTTTGAATTCTGTCAGCACCTAATATTTTTTTCAGCACACATGGAAGGCGTTCTAAACTCTGTTCCATCTTTTTTTTATTGAATGTTCTGTTGATTCCATAAAACTCGAAAGTGCAGAACTCACCAATCAAGCAACCCAAATAATATTCCCAAATATCATGCATGACCAGAGTAAAATTTGATTTCATTCACTATTGTTTATAGATGTGCCATAAGGCTATCAGGTTGTTTCTTTCTTTGTGTTCAAATATCAATATTATTGTTGAGTGAATCTATTAAATATTGTAATTGTTAAATAATAAAAAATGTGAAATAAACTTATAAAAATATGTCCTTATTTGATACAATGAAACTTTATTAAAATTATACATGACATTATGGCTTTGATTGTAGGCCCTTTCTGAAGGCCGCTAACACCAGTTCTCTAGAATCTTGTTTTGTCATCTAGCAGAAGATAGGTATGGGCAATAACTGGATTCCAGAAAGACTAGTGGGACCTATTGAAAATTAGACTTCTGTCTAAATGGGTTGCCAAATAAAGTTATTATACTTAACCACTGGACATCAGTGGTATTTGCAAAATTGACGTCTTAATTGGATAAAACATTCTTGAATTACAATAAACACGGACCACAGTGATCGTCGACCGAGTATTATCTCAAAGTATATCTATATATTTAGCATTGATATTATTACAGATATAACATTTATTGCCCCTTGGCTACTTGTTATTTGTTTATCGTAAATCAAACTTCAATAAACATCACTGTACACAAACATTTCATTTGACAATATACTTATTTCAAGGGATATAGCTTTCTGAATAACTGCTTAAAAAATTGCGGAAACTCAATGAAATTCCGGACGAATAATGGCATGGGAGGAGGTGGAATTCTGGGTTTTATTATAGTGGGTAACTGTAGTCTGTCAGTTTCTTCATGGGTCCATGGTTAAACAAATTGGTTGTTGGAAAAACTGAAACCCAGTGTTCTTCAGGCTATGTACCTCAGATGATGCTATCCTGGAAGAATTGCTCCTATCATATAATGCACTTAACGGCGTTGTCTGTTAAAGAAGAGCTTTCTTTTTTAATTCAATGTAGCTGTATCTGAAAATTTAGATGTATGAATACCTTTATTGTTTAATATCTGTTTTAGAGGGTGGTTAGAAATGCCTCCCTTGTCTGACTATATAGCCACTATAGATTTAATATATACTTTCAGATGATGGTCCATGTTCCTTTAGCAACGGTACAATGATGTGAATAATGCTCTGAATTGCCGACCTAAATTGTTTATCAACACAGGTCTTGAACTGTCTTACTAAAAGAATTCCTACTTCTGCTATAGAAATGGTCCTGAAATTAAACTGTGCAAACAATCAATCCACAAAATGAATGAAATGGAGTTTTACGCCCTACTCCGCATCTGATGCCGAGGAATCTTTATAGTACAGAGCCTACGTATTGCACACAACCAAGGACTGACCCAATTTCACCATACAGACGCACCACTGGATAGAAAATCCTACGGTATCATCTTGTCCTATATTGATATTATATGAGTGATTGTAAATTGGTTTTCAAAACATTTTATGTGTATTTTTTTTCACCATTCCAATTTTCAATCGGACTGTGGTTCCTGCAATTCCACAAAACCTAAGCGTTTTATGACGTCACTATCGCAAATTAATATAAGGACCTTTGCATTAGTGACGTCATTAAACGCTTAGATTGCACCTCTGATTGAAAATTGGAATGGTGAAATATGATGCAATCAGTGTCCCCTATACACATACAAACTTAAGAAAACCTCTGTATACAATCTCTTTAAACTCGGACATTTCTAACTCACGACCACGGAACCACCAGGGTTTCGCAACAAATCGGTAATTTTAAACTTAAAGCAGATGTGATGTTGATTTCAACGTATCGATGATAGTGGACACAGGACCAGTGATTGGGACCCTACTGAAATAGGATGTAGCTTGATTGAGATGTATCAAATATGAAATATGGTAAAAGTGACAAGTAATGTGTCAATTTGACGGTGATAGAGCATAGGTCATCATTTAACTGTCATCGGTTGATAATATTATAATTATTACTACCAGTGTCGTAGCCAGGTTTACGTCCGAGAGGGGGCGAAATATCTGAGATTTCCCGAATTTCTAACCTAGTTATGATGATTTTGCCCGAAAAACTTGCCTTCGGGGCTGCGAGGGGGCCACTGATTACTACATGGCTAGCCAGGGACTGTTATACACCTATTGGCCATTTTTTAATCTAAACGACTACACGCTGTTCCTTACGAGCTCAGGAGAGAAACGCAGCCATAGGGCAAAATGAGGTCTAGGAGAATTTAAAAGACATAATTCAAAATAAAAGACACTCTCCTAAGGTTTCATATGTGAGGCATTTGCCTCATGTGTCTCCATTTCGGCCTTGGGAAACCAATTTGAATCCCATCATAGACTTTTATATACCATATAGACTTTTCCTTGCGTGGAACTCCGTAACTGTGAATAAGCGATCAAGCGTTGTAACTCATTGAGAAATAGCTGTCCCATCCCGTGATTAGGGGCCCGCAAGACCATTAATGTATGGACCTATCAATGACCATAAGACAATGGTTTATCACTATATATTGATATGTTACACAATGTAATGAATGTAATTAGTTGTATATTGAAAATGATACACATCTCGCTAAAACGGTAAACAATAATATTGATGATGTGACCCTTTAATTCCAGTCGGTTGGTTTGATTTTCCCTATGCACTGTACTCAGAACTATCGCTTGGCTTTGAAGGTACTTACGATTATCTGGTTTAGTATCAATAAAAGTTCAGGGACCACAGGCGACTCCGAATTGTGCAAACCCACGTTATGTATACATGAAACTCATACAAAGGATTGGGTAAATTACATTCTGGCTCGGCTTTCTCACCCCTCACTCTGCCCCTTCTTTCAAATTTTGTATTAATTTAGATAGTGAAAGCATAACCTGTATCGCCCCTGGACAATTTTGTGATTCGGTCGAGTCCAACACATCCCATACTGGATTAGGAATGGAATAAAATAACACTTTATATAACACTCCGCCGCACCACCACCTACTTTACACACATAAACAAAATAATAGTTACACTCCTACATTTGAGATAATGGTTGCTCATTGCTATAGTTTCGCTATCTTCTTGCTAGTCGTTCTCGATATTTTGTGTGATATTTTGAGGTGGGTAAGTGAGGAAAGTTTGAACCAATGAATCAATTGAATAATATGATGTATTGTAATCTAAGTAAGTATCGAATAGAGACAACAGACTATTTAAAGAGTGGATGGAAAGACACCAAAAAAGATGCAGTAGGTGAAAGTAGCCGAATCTTGTTAACACGGCCGTGGAATCAGAATTACAAAAACTCTACCGACTGATCTATCTAACTGCCACAAAAAGGAAATGTTCCTACCCAGCGTTAAAGGGGAAATTTGACGATTACACATTTCGAAAGTACGAATTAGTAACGATACGTGAAAGGGGTTTAAATCCCGACTCTCAGAAGCGGCTGTAGGGTTATTTCACCCACCGTGTTTGAACAGGGAAGAGTGTTTTTGGTGATAATTATATTGTATTGTGTTATATAATCATTAGTAATATATACTGTAAGAAATTGACAGATAGGGGACATCTCTTTCTTATAGGAGTGTCACAATTTACAGATATATGGAAATCAGTTTGATGTGATATTGGGTAGATCAATATATATAATATCGGACAGTATATTGTATATTACGATCAAGGTGTTTGATCACAAGTAATATTAGGACATTACAACGTTACAGGTAGGTTATTCAAGTTTTTTTTGTCAATATCAAAAAGTTGACGCTATATCAAATTGAATATTTTTTGTGTGTATTTTAAGGGGGGAACTAAAATAGGTCTACATTAAGATGGAATAGTAATATCAAAATGTCTTATACATCTAGACATTCAAACAATTGATATACATGTATTTTAAGATCTTTCTTCGTCAATGAAACGCAAAGTTTTCTAATAATTCCAACGATGAATCCATGTAACATTAAACGATGATCCTTTGCTAATTTAATTCAATATGATCTCTTCAAAATAAACCAGATTTAATCCAGTATAAGTCTTAACCCAAGGCAAGGTGTAAATTGAACTACCTGTATTTCTTTATGAGATTATCATAATCATAATGAGATAATTGTTAAATCAATATTAACTGATTTTCTTTTATAAAAGTCGTTTGCTTAATTTGGATTGATTCTGCTTCTCTGAACATATTACATATTGACTTTCTCCTTTTATTCGAATGTCTTTCTTCAAAAACAAAAACCGAGGCAAGTTCTTATAGTCGAAAAGGGGTAATCCAATGCGGTTATCCTAGCAAAATGTTCAAATTGCAGTGTAACGAGATTACTATTTAACAGAAGATACTGGCCCACAGTTAAAGCACTGTTCACTAATGTTAAGGCTAGTATGTTAAAATGGACATTCGAAGTACTTCTAAACTGTAAGACAAATTCTGGGACATCCAGACATAACAGATCTTTCCTGAGTTCATAATAAATCTTATCTAGTTATCCCGGCCCCTTCCTCTGGTATTCTTATCTACGAACAGACAGATCCCCTTATCGCATTCTGACCACAGAGAATCTATTTTTGTTCCATCTAGTTGGGCACCATAGCTTTATGTACACCCCATTTATGTAGAATTTTCAATTTGAGAGATCTGTTACAAGGATTTATCTAATAACTAGAACATTTGTAACTTTTGAAACGGAATTAAATTAAAAACATGGAGTTTCACTTCCTACTGTTCTGCCCATGGATGAGCCGATGAAAACTATTATTTCTGTACTACATGAAGATTAATTTGAACATAGGCCCGTTAACTGTAAACTTTCTGTAAGTTGTTTCATTTTCAAAACTTAAAGAAGCACAACATAATTTATATGGATATACTATTTCTGACATCTATTAACTCAACGTTTCACATGCTCATACAGGCAGCGTTATCAAGAGAACGTACCTGTTATATTATAGATTCACAGCTGAGCAACCGTTATATTATAACTTAGTGACTTTAAATAATGTAATAATTCAATATATTTCACAAACTTGTTTTTACTTGAATATGATAATGAATAAAATTAGTCATGACGTGGTAAAAGAAGAGCCAATCGGATCATTAGAATTGAGCTCATTATTATTATTATTAGTTCTCTAGGCTCTGTGGAAATTACTCTCCCAACTCCGGTAAGATATTTCTCTATTTTTATTATTTTCTGATCATTCCTCAACTCTCAATTTTTTTATTTAGTTAGAATGATCAAAAATGGGAGATTTGAAACTAATAAAGTGAGTTTGAACTGAGTAGGTTTTAAGATACCAAATTTTTTCTGTCTAATGTGACCCAACCCTAGGTAAATTCTAAGAAATCTGGGACCTTAAATTTCATAATGTGCCGTGGACTCGTTGAACAGTTATCATTATTTTTACATATGGTTCATAATGTGATAAAATTTCATTTTAAATAGGAAATAAATAGAAATTGATGCGTGACCTTTTACTAAATATAATTGGCCTTCTCTTAATTACATCCGCCATTATTCAGCTTGAAATCAAGTAGGATATTTCTTGTTATACTTTCATCATTTCCTAATCAAATAATCGTTATATCAATCTAGTCGTAAGATTTGAAGGGAATCGGTTTAGATCTAAAAGTAAGGGAAGCCTAGTAAAACTCAAACCCCCACCTAACTAGCTCATCGTCTCCCATCCCCCTACTTCTCTATAGTATTCATCCCTAGATAGTGACGTGGTAAAATAGCGGTTATTGTTACAATGTAGCCTTCAATCACGAGATACGATTCGAAACAAGGAATTTTAGCACCGAAATTCCAGAAATTTTAGGATATTTTGATCGATTTTGATAAAATTTAAGATATTGTTAAGAAATTGATTTGAATCATGTAACCTCAAGGAAGTTTTTCATCACATTCGATCAACCTGCATAGACATGTAAACGCCCAGAAATGCACGAAATTTAGGTCACGAGCGCGTCCTCGGCACCTTTTCCCACAATCCGCCAAAAACGACTTAATAGATTTGCGCCATTTTGATCATAAGTTTGTGTAAAACTGCACAGACTGTTTCTCTGAATTTTAAGGACTTTATACCTCCGAAGATATATTAAGAATATTCAGAAGTAATTTCTTTGTCGTATAAAATCAATTACAAAGCTAATAAATATATTTGATGAAGAAAATCTAGTTAGGTCATAGGTGGATGACAAATGATATATAGTTGGTGTGCTGCACAGTCAACATGCTTATACATGTAAATCACAATATATTGGACATACATCATATGTTGCTATGAACAAAGTCGAATATTGTGAATAAACTATGTAATGTTTATCAAATTGTGGAAAGATTTTTTACCTTCACAAGTCTGTACACGTCAATTCACTTACAAAGAACAAAGATATGTATGTAGAAGTACACTTTTAACAAAAATGATAACGACTTTTAACTTAAGTTATGAGCAACATGAAACATGAAATATATAACAATTTCACCTTTTTCACAGAAATTATTTATATATTAAAGAAATTTATCCTAACAGAGGATATGCTCATTTTCATATTAAAGGAATTCCGGATAAGCTTGATATAAGTTGCACCACGGCACATCACGCTAGATTTGAGAAATCATTCCTTTTGTCTAACTTCTGTTACATTTAATAGAGAACCTTTATTTTCTACGGTACACTTATTCTAACAGTAAACTTAATTTGTTAATTAAATATATAATCAAAAGCAAATAGAATTGAAATTTATAACTAGTAAATAAATGAAAGAGTAAAACGTGTTAACTATTATAGTAGAATGGTTGAATGGCGATATACTTATCAATTACTATCTAATATATGAACATAATGATAGCAATCTCTAACAACAGATGACTGCCCCCGGGAGTTAGGTCTATTATACATTCATTCATATAATACAACTTGTTTTAGCAGCAATTTTTATAAATATAAAACAGTTTTACGCTCTTTGCATTTGAAATAACTTTGGTTCGCTGATTTCCCTTTCCCTTACAGCACATAGAGAAGATATGGATAGAAGGCCGTATTATAATTTACACGCATAGACTAGTTTTGATACAATTCTAAAAGTCATTATTTCATTTATCATAATGCTTTCAGAAAGTTCACATAACTATTATTTTGTATTTATTATATAAATCTCACAATTAGAAATATAACTTATTGTTTGCACGAGCTTGCATACGTTATGTATCAATATTTTTTCAATTAAAACATGCCTTAACGGTTCAAACAATGATAAACGCTCGAGGCGACCTCTTTTTCATTTCATTTCGTATCCTAACTATTCAATAATATGACAATGAGCGTGTAAATTATGTATTTTCTAGTAATTATTTAGTTAATAGATTGATTTTTATTGTTAAAACACCGGGAAATCAATATCAGTATAGGCTATATGAATATTAAATTAACGACAGATGGCCAATATCTCGCTATTCCATTTATAGTTAAAATGTATAGTTATAGTCTAAAACTGTCAAGTATTGAGAATATAAAATTCGATTTTCAGAACTCGACTAGAAATTCAATCTCTGATCAACATTTTACATGATTAGTGGTCTCTGGAAGGTAGAACAATACAACGGATTCCCTTTCTTATTTAGAAATAGGATCAAATGTTGTCAAATTCACCCAAAATTATGTTCTAAGCTTCTAAGCCTACAAATTTGTTCACAAGTCAAGTTATGCTACTGAGGATTTCATTTAGCGTCATTTTTCATTTGCGTTCGAAATAGGACGAAAATTAGGCGGCACATCATATCAGTTTTTGTAAAAACATGACTGAAATTATCGAGACTTTTGATTTTTTCTTAGAGATTGGCATAAAGTACACAGTTCTGGAAAGTTTCAGAGTCTGAATAGGTCTATTTTTAAAGTAATTGATGTTTTTATCAAATTTTTAATTTTAATTTCTGGAGACTAAAGAGGGGATAACTCATACAGTAGTTGATAGACTCGATTGTCATATAACGAGTTATATTGTGCAATATTCTTTAAACGCTTACCCTGAAATTAATTTGACTACCTACGTACTAAAAGGCATAGAAACGTGATATTTTGGAGGCGCTAATAACATTTTACTCACAGGGTAACGAAAAGTAACAATTAATTTGTTTCACTTCCGAAATATTAACTTTTAAATTGGTATTTCATAGTTGCCAGCCCGTTCATTCCCTATGAGCCATTTTAACAATCCCCATCACACACACAAAAAAGGTTCTGTTTCTTAACTTTTTCTCTTCCATAATTTCAAAATATAAAATCAATCCCAACTTTTAAAAAAGGGTTCTCGCGGTTAGCTTTTAGTTCTGAACTAATTTTTTTATCCAGTTGCATGTAGGCCTATACTTAAAAGCTGACTGGCGATTTTACACAACAGTGATTAATCTTGAAGCCTCAGTTGAAACTCAAAGATTCAATATGGAACAAATCATTTGATTGGCCGAATCTTCAGTTACAATTTCTTCAGATTATAGAAGTAGAGTAATCTGCACAAGAATGAAACAAAAATCTAGATCAGATAGTGAGACTTATTTATTATTTTTCAGATTCCCTATATATCGCCACAGGCTGTTCAAGATGTCCCGAGAATTAGTAGATCTTGAGGAACTGGTACGGGAATTTGTCGCTGACTTTCCCTTCGATAAATCCCAGAAAAAAGAATTCGATGTCATCAAAAGTCAAGACATCAATTGGGACCACATGCACGTCGTACACAATCCATCAGAATATTTTGATTCCACGAGGTTGGCGACACCAAAATCGCACGTAATTTTCACGGCACATTTTACCAACGCTACTGACAGTAAACAAGTGTATGCTTTGAAAACTGAGCGTCGTACCAACTCGACATGTAGCGTGTCTTTAATGAAGTCGTATACAATTGGTGTCAACGTTGATATAAAATTAACCCCACCAAACCCTATTATTGAGGCCAATGCTGGATTCCACGGGGAAATGTCCATGGAAAAGGGAGCAGAGGAAACATTTGAGGAGGAGCTGACATGGACAGTTGATAATCAGATTACTGTACCCCCGGGATTTGTGACCCAGGCTGACCTCGTTATCAAGGAAGACAACTTTACAGCTGCTTTCAAAACGGAATCTAGATTTGACGGGAAAATTCACGTGAATATAAGAAGTAAGAAAGATAACTCTGTCATTAACCATCTGACTGCCACAGTTAGGGAAGTTTTCACTCAGGATAAAGGATTCAGTAAAGTTGATAAAACTGGATCTACTCTCACCACAGTTGGGAAATGTAAATGTAGATTTGGAGTGGAGCAACATGTAAAACTTACACAGAGAAAGTTACAGCCTGAAGCCGAAACATAAACTGTAGTCAGTATATAGAGACGCTGAGAAAATCCTGAATTAGGGGTGGGGTGGGAGAGAGGTCTACATCCTTCCGCTAAAAACAATACAGCGAGATTGAAGACTTTATATGCAGACTTTTGTCAGAAACGTTATAAAATGGATATCTGATCCATTCGAGGCATCATTATTCATTAAGCTCATATTATTCAGTAATGTGGGATGATGTGCCAAATTGTTCACTTGTGGAATTCTGTGATGTGGAAATCGCGCTTCCCAGTAATAATGATGCCTTGAAGTGTAATTGGAAAAGTGTCAGTGTAATTGTACAAATTCCAAAATTTACTGTTTTAGAAATTCTACAATTTATGGCAAGATCTTTTGTGTTATTTTATTTGTGTGTTCACATTAACTTGCACGCTCTCGATGGATTTCCCTTTTATTTTTTGGATTAACCAATCAAAATAGTTTGATGATATGTTTATGTGTTTTAAGAACTCATGCTGTCTACCGTGAAAGTTCTGCTACAATAGATGCCGAATGTTAAGTATTGCCAGTGTGATTTTGACAATAGAATAGTCTGACGATTGAACCAAGTGCGTACGTGTTCAGATTTTCTATGGAGTAAAAGAAAGGTGTATATTTTTATAGCTTGAATTTCTTACTTATCTACTTATTTCATGCATTATTCCTTATTTCAAAAACCGGTTCATGCCAACAGCACTTTTCTATTTTAAAGGGAAGCAGTGCTTAGTAAGCAATTTCATGGTTCGAGTGGCTTCATTTGTATTATTCACGGTCCTACTAACTGCTTAGCTTTATATTTCCGATATTAACTTTCTCAACTAGTTAGATGTAGACGCTTTCTGGTTTGACGCCATTACTAAATATAGCTTTAGATGTTGCGTTTCGTTCATTTACTTCGGTTAACCTAAACGAAAAGAAATATGTAAAGCTGTATTTTTTTTAACCCTATACTGGTTCACAATGTAATTAAGAGCGCGGTAAAGGGAAATAACTCCATATATAACGGTAAAGGGATATAACTCTATATAAGGATACTTAATTCAATAACAATATTTTTCTAATTAAATATTTATTGCTTATACTAAAAAGAAACAGAGGTATAATGTATAAAGACTATATAGTTAATAGATCAAATTATAAGTTAGAAGGAGGAAGGTACCTTAGTACAAAAATCCCAAATATTATGATTTAATCAAAAAATTCCCTTCTCAATCTTTTTGAATCTTCTTAAAAAAAAAAATTAATAATCAAATGTCTTTAATTGATCTAAATATATTTCAGATAGATTGAATATTTGTGAATTTGATGTGATTAAGATCAGCAGTCTGATTTCACAAATAAATAACTTTCTTTTTTAATAAAAAAAAATTTGATAAATTTCTGTCATAGGATTTTTGTGATAAGATATTAAAGATATAAATAAGAGATTCTATTTTAGCTTAGATTGGTATTTTAAGGAAAGAAAAAAGAGAATAACAAAAATACAAAATTATTTCCGAAAATATTTCACAAAACAAAAACTAATATTAGGCAACAACAACAAAGTATATCAGAATGGTAAATATAAAAGAGTGAAAAAGAAATTGTAAAATTACACTTCAATACTACTAATAATAATAAATCATAAAAATTTCTCCACCTCTTTTTACACAATCTTTTTCTTACCCATCTTCTCAAATAAATAGAATAACAACATACTTATACTTAGGAATGTAGTGATATATCTTCTTAAATTACCATTAAAATTTATTTTAAATTGTTCAAAAAAAGATTGTTGCTAGTCAACAGTATTCTGGACATTATTACCCTGTGAATATCTTTCTATGTCATAGGACACCTTAAGATTGCTTGTGATCATATGTTGAGATTTTCATATAAATTTTCTAACTAAAGAACTTCTTTTCCCCCTTTTTCATGTCTGATAAATGACCAAGAGAGCTTAAAGACTTGTTTTTTAAGAAGATGGGTAAATAAAGATGTCTTCCAAGATGAAATTTAAGAATCTGTTTCTATTCCATCTCCTTCAATATAGGATCTCCATGATTGTCCACTGTCGGCCTTCTTTAGAAAGACCACAACACGATTTTCTTCTGGCTAAAATAATAGAAAAATATATCTATTATTCATCTGAACATAAACTAAAAAAATGTATTTATTAATCATCGCTAAAAATGTAATTATCATTTAAGCCAAAAAAATGTAGTAATAAAACAAATAATGTAAAAAAGCGTATATATATATTTGTATAATATCAATATCACTAAGTCAGTGTGCACCAAATGTAGTTGGCTTGTATATCTTTGCAAATATATAAATATATAGATAAGAACTGTTTACTATATTTTGGAGTAAAATGAATCATAATGAGCACTGAGCACATTTCTAACATTAACCAAACAATTTTTTTCTCAAAAATATTATATTTGACTTTTTAATATTTTTGAAAATCCTCTAGATATGCGAAATTATCATTGAATAACAAGCATAATAATTAATATTTCTTTTTTCTCCAGTTTTCATGAAATTTGATCTTTTTTTGGAAGTCAATAACAATTCCTTTTTTCAATATTTTATCTTTTTTCAAAACATCTGTGCCAAGTTTGATGAGGGACTTGATGTAATAGAGTTTTTGTCATTACTATAACATTTTCTTGTAAGTAGTTGTATAAAAGTGATTGTGTTCATATTGCACATGATAGGCATGTTTCATCAGTCGTGTGTTCACATTAATGGATTCCTCATGAAAATGTTCACTTAAGTCAAGACAATGATTGCAAGAGATAATGTTCCCTGTTTTTAATATATTCATTTTTTCCTCAAGGCAAAGTTCATTTCAAGCCATGTTCCCTTTTGTGTTCACTTGGAACACAGCCAAGTTCCCACTAGCAATATTCTCTTTGATCAAATTTACTTCAAATAATTTACTACAGCTTTTATATTATATTTATTGTTAGTTTCTATTGTATATAGTGAATTTAAGGATATAAATAATAAGGTTTATTTTGAATGCTTTTGTTGTGTTTAGTATAATTGGTTGAAGTTTTTATTTTTTAATGTCCACAATTCATAGCCTATACCATTCAAAACTGAATGGGCTATGCAGTAAAGGGATTGTAAAGAGGTTTTCAAAACTTTTTCTGTGTATCACAGACATTGATAGCATTGATTTACACTATTCTAATTTTCAGTCAGAAGTCTGTGAACCATACAATTCTACTAAAACTAGTGACTACATGTCACAAATGCCCTTAGATAGTCTGACAGAAAAATGGTATAATGCAATTAGAAGCCATACAGATAAGAAGAATACTCCCCCATATCTAAACCAGTACCTCAATGTAACAGCTACTATCATCAATATCATAGGGTAGTCTATTGATTCTCAGTTGTACATTTTTAACTTTTGAATCCTTCTTTCCCTCAACTTTTACCAAAACAGTTCTGAAGACATGAAAAACAAATCCAAAATTTAGTTAAAATGAATAAAATATTCAGTAACACCAGCATGAGAAAAGTTGAGCTTTCCTCAAGTTCTCAAAAATGAAAAACAAATTTTCAGTTTTGCTGTCAGAAGTGAAAGTAAAGATGTAGAATATCTGTTTTTTTTTTTTTATTAATTCTGACACCTACTTACCTTTCAGTAAAACCAGGTTCAGGAATGTTGGCGTTCTTGGGCACTTTCTTAGATGAACGCCAAGATTCTTTCTCTACTTGCAATCCGTTTACTTTCATGATCACTCTCACGAATCCTTGTTTAGTCTTTTCATCAAACGCTAAAAAAGAACAAAAATGAAACTAAAATTTGGAATATTTGATGATTATTCATTCGTTATCCCCTTAAAAGTTAGACGAGTCATATTGTTTATTTTAAGCAAGATTTCCATTTCTACACTATATTTAGGGCTAAAATCATACACTGATTAGCTGGTGTATGGCTTCTGCTCATCTAAAGAGTATACCAGGAAGTTGTGGCCTTTTCGATAATCTGAATCTGTGTCAAAATGTCCTCATTTCATGTCTGAGACACTTCCAGGAATACTGCAGAGGGCTAAAGACAGGCCCCTTCATAAATGACATTATGTCACAAGCAAGACAAGGTCAATAGTTTTACTTCAGGGCTAGGAAGTCCATGTCAAAATGCCCATATGACATACTGCTGTTTATGACATAAATGACATCTCATATAAATTATATAATAGTATGTAAATTATTCAAGTCTGGCAATCAAACTACAAACATTTTAAACTTAACACAAGTGTGCTAAATATCTCTTTTACAATATTCTTAAAATTTCATGATAATCACAAACTTAAAATTAAACGTAAATATAGTTTACCGTAAGATGCGTCAACAAAACTATCTGCCATCTTTCAATCTTGATCTATCTGGTTATGTTATTCTTGGTTGCTAATAAACAAATAACTGGTGATCTAACCATATTCGGAAATTGAAAGTAGAATTTACATTTCTCAGAAATGCACAATGTTCAAGGATGCATTAGTTTACTTGTAAAAATAGGCAACAAAAATTTCCAAACAATAACAATATGTTGTAGTTATATGCCCATGTCGTGTCGATTGTCCAGACTCAAAGTCGAACGACAAATCGGTATTATGACAAGTCGGCTCGAGTCAAATCGACCTAAGTTTATAAGTTAGTCTTGGGCCAATGATAAGTAAACGTATCTGTGAATGTTCATTACCAAGAACTAGTGTCTAAGAAAAAACCCATAAAAGAGATGTTTGAGACAAGAGTTAATTTTAATTTATATATTCTGCTGTTTTGTTGCTTATGAGATTTTGATAAGATGAGAGATTAGGAGCCAAGCTATTTCAATTCCTATGCATGTCATCTGATAATTATTTGACTTTGATAAGATCAACACAAGATGAAACATATTCTTACCTTTCCTTTTTTAATACACTAAATTGCAAAACTTTGCAGGATTTCTTGTTCAAATAAATGAAATAAAATATTAGAATTGAAATATAATTTATTTGATTATCTATATACATACAGATTAAAATCTACCAAAATTCAATCTTTTTTTTTCTAGAGTATAATACAATATAGAAATTTACACACCTCTCTTCAAAATTAAAAATATTTTTTTCTAATAGTATTACCAAATGTGTCTTCAATTTTTTTCATGTAAAAATAATCTGTAGAATTTGATTGTACAGGATATATCTGAACTTCACTGATTTGTTCCAAGAAGTCAGACACCATTTCCCAGAAAATCTTTATGGTAAAATTTGTCGTGAGTTTGGGATGCTATATTGAATATAGCAAATTCACAACCAAAAGTGAGTTTAAGATTTTCGAGAACAGAACCAAGGTTCATAGAACCGTAAAAAACTATGAATACTAATCTTTCTGAAAATACTCATATTTGTTGGGGCATGAATTCACAGACTGACCCAAACATGAAAACTTAACATCCAAAAATAGTGATTCATAAGGAGTCAAATTGGTTTAGGATGTGACTCATTCCATTCAAACGGAATAATTCTCGAATTTCAGTATAAAAACATGTCTTTTGAATTTTATAAAGCAAAAACAAGACATACCAACTATTTAAACAGTAAAAATAAATTGAAGATTTGTTACTACTTGTAAATCCACTATTAGAAATTCATATATAAATCAACAAGAATCAATATGATTAATATACAGCTCTAAATATTTTGTTTCATTTGTTTTCTGTGGGCTACTGTAGTCATTCTTTATAAAGCAATTTGGATGCCTTCTGTTATTTGTCAATGTAAGACAATGAATATAACAACATTCCTTATGTGGTACAGCTTTTACATAACAGAACATTTGATTGGTTAAATTAATGAACATACCTTTCTTATAAATGTTGTGAGAACAAAAATGAAAAAATGATGCAAGTAATCAACAAAGTCAAAAGAAAATGTTATAAAGAACTGTATTTAAATTAGTTTGAACAAAAATAGCACAATTTATAGAAAACAATTACAATGTTTCAACAAAATTACATCAGATGTGTAGAAAATAATATACTTAATGGTAAACAAATACTGCATTTTACTTCAAATCATCTAAATCAGTAAATGTACAGATATTTTATGAATAACGAAGGCTATATTATACTTCAAGGAACTCTTAAGCATTGATTCTTATCCTTTTTGATGATGCTTTAGCTATATTGAAGGCTTTTATATAGTAAAATATATTTATCCATCACCTGATGTCACTCTGCAAGTCAGTTTTTCAACTCGTCATTCCTTTAAGAGAGTCTACATAGCTAGTAAAGTTATTTCTACGCTGTGGACAAGATTAGTTATTAAATACAATACTGAATATAATACCAATAATAGACAATATATAAAATACTGAAATATATATTTAAGATCAAGGGATATTTCTAAATAAAGATATGAATTAACCTCTGTAATTTAGGCAGAAAAATGGAAAATGAACACTATAAAGGTTTTACTTATATCATCTTCACAATGTCAAGCTATTACAAACTTCATCTTGTTCCTTGGATGCTTTGGATACAATAGCCACCTTTCTTGTATCACAGAATTCAGTGATTTGATTGAATAGTATACCAGTAAATACGACCAATCAGAGCCCTGAACAGACATTTAAAATCATGTCTTGTTGTTTGCAGACTGTCTGTCAAGGGCTCTGATTAACCTATAAGAAAGGTGGCTATTTGAGTCAAGGATGCGGTTCATAATAGTTTAATCTGTGAAGATAAACTTATTCATACTTTCAATTTCTCATCATTCTACACTCAATCAATATAATATTTATGCTTGGAAATATTCCTTGATGAACATCTTAATTAGTTTTAAAATACTGATTCTTATTTTAATATCAATTTATTATCTTAATGTCTAGATGTTAAATATCTATTGACAATCCTGAGAACTGAAGATAATTTTACTAATCTTACTAATCTAATTATCTAATGCTAAATCTCTAATGAAAACAATTAATTAGACATTATATAATATCTGTAACAAATTCATAACAACCTCTTATATTGAATATTTATATAACATGTGTTATATATAGTCTGGGAATGATGTACACATCCTGATACAATTTAAAACATAACACAATGAGTCCACTTTATATTATAGGCATTTTAAAGAGGCTTTCTAAATTTTCAATTTGCACCATTCCACTAAAACTAATCGCAAAATATGCATGTATCAATAAGGCCCTATGTGCTTAGTGATGTCATCAAACACTTAGTTTTAGTGGAATTGCAGGAACCACAGACGTCTGATTGAAAATTTACATGGTGAAAATTGATCAGTGTCCCTTTATTACATAAAATATTTAGTAAAATCTCTTTAAAATCTAATAAATAGTAATGAACACAAAATCAAAGAAGATTGTACAGATTTTATTTTCACTTTATACCAGAAAAAAATGAACATTGATTAGTCCTCTGTTTGTTTTAAATCATACTCGTATAAGCAAACATTTATTCTAACCCAGACACTTTCACATGACAAGAACAGAAGCCTTTTGTTGAGTACAAGTAATGTAGTTGACATACAATGTCTTCATTGCTTTCTTTAACTACCTCAAAATGAAAAGTATAATGTGTTAAAAATTGCAGCCTGATGTGTTACATTAGTAATTTCAAATGAAACTTATTTATGATTTGACTGAATGGATATCTAGTTAAATAGTTTATAATTATAAATAAGCCCTATTGTATCATTGTATACCCACTGATAATAAATTAATTAAACCTTGGTTTAACTCAACATTTTACAACTTTACATGCACCAACAAAGTTGTAAGAATTAATAAACATTTCGTATTCCTATTAGAACTTGACTATTTGTAGTATACTCCCACAAATTACGTATAAGTTTTTATAAGAGAAACTCTCTTACAGAACATGTGTTCTGAGTAACAACCTGATTCGAGATCTGATTTGATATTTCTACTTCCTACAGATTATATAAGTTATATATAAATACTATTCATTATTTACTCATAAAATGTGAGAGAATTCACAATTATTCACAATGAAAACCCTGAATTCAAGTGATGTAGAGATTTCTTTATCATGAATTGGAATAAAATGGAATGAATTATGAAAGCAGTTTCATTTAGGAAAAAAATTCAAGAAGAAAACCAGCATGTATGTGTCAAAATCATCATTCAAATGACAAGAAAATTAGTATATATAATATATCAAAACAGATTTTATCACAAGGAGAAAAAACAACACAACTCTCAACACGGATTTTTGAAACAAAGATCAAACAGACAAGTATCTATCAAAATAATCAAAGCAAAAGAAAAAAATATGATTTCAAGACCATTCATAACCTCACTGTCTTGACACATATATTTCAAATCACAACAATATATACTTAACAAAATCTTTTTCTTTAAATCAAAGCAAATAAAATCAAAGTTTCATTTCAATAACCTACTAGTCATTAATCAATCAGATAAATTGACAAAAAAAACGAAAACAATAAAATATGAATTATTCTGAATGTGTAGAATCTTTTTCTGAAAGTCTCATTTCCCTGTTATAGGATTATGCTATCTGAATGGCATTTTTCATATGCTTTTAACTTTAGGACTGACAGCACCGATTTCACCAAATTCTATCCATAGAAATCAGGGACGTGGGCTTACAATTAATAACAAAGATGGCAGATCACAAGTTTTGTAACCATACATCAATTCATTCAAGGGATTACACTACAAAACTCTTTTTAACTGTGCCTTAGCTCATTGGTTTCACGCTTTGAATGCCTTTTTGAATTTGCTTTGCCTTGCTAAACCATAATTTTTTATTATGCGCACTCCCAGTTTGGCAACCCATCTGTATACACAAAAACCGCACACTATACATGCAAATATACGTTAACTTTAGCAAATCCAATAACAAGTATAGTACCAATAAATAACTTAAGATTTTAACAAGTGACCTGACTATCTCTTTACAATCATTTAGACTAAATAAGTATCTTCTACAAGGCTTGATTGATGAAAAGTTACGCAAGTTTATTTGAAATACTTCAAACCAGCCACTGTGAGGAATTTCTCTATAAAGATTTCAGAATCTAAGACAGCAATATGAGCTGCTCTACCAATCATGGTATTAGCTGTACTGGGTAAGGCATGGAATACATCATAACGTATTAATTTACAGTCAGGTGTACCAATTATAGGCTGTAACAAATTCTCTACCATTTCTTTATATATCTTACCTATAAAAAATATAAAGACATTGTTAGAATATAATGACTGCATAAATAGAAATATTATTAAATACGTGTTTGACTATATTGGGTTAAAACAGATGCAAAAAGAAAGACACAATCAGAAATATTGCAACATAAGTAATATTAAATTGACGCTATAGATTTATCTTAATTTATTCAGATATTTTCATACATTAAAAAATGGACTTTGTCTGAGAAATCTTTGTGAATTTTCTCACAATGTTGTGCAATCATAATGTGCATATAACATTTCACAACAGTTATTGGAAGGGTTGGTCAAATAGGTATGGAATTTTCACCACTAAAAAAGTGTTTCCAAGATATCTTTTCAGTTAATCATTACTTATTTCAGCTTTTCTTTATGAGGTCTACATCATAACCAAAAGATTTGATCAAGGACCAGATAAAAAACATCCTTGAAAAGCAAACATCCATGTAAACTCATATTATAGTATTTACATCTTATACTTACCCATAACACTGGCATCTCTCTGGGCAGCTCGACAATATTCTATTCTAGATGAATGATAGGGAACATATCTATCCTGATTGGAACCTACTAGCACCACATTCTTGAAATGATGTAAAACTGAAATATAACCAGAGCATTGCGTCACACTAAAACTCAATCTAACACCTTCTATGTTGATCTCACAAATGCGAAGCTGGTTTTTTGGGTTAAAATGATGGAATTTTAATTGAAACAATGTATAAGAATAGAAAGTTCAGTTTTAAAACCTAACCCTTTAACTGTGTTCTGCAGATAATAAAAATATATTGCAGGCAGTGTTAACACATATATTGTATCTAAAAATCTAAACATTTATAATGGTGAATCTGTCTGAAGTCTGAAACCAACTGGAATAGTGTCAAGGCATATCTGCATATAACAAAATATATTGCAGACAGAGGAACCAAATATGTCTGCCCCAGATAAGATTTATAAAGATAAAATATCTACTGTACCTGATCGTTGACTGAGTTGATATAGAAAACTTTTCCTAGGATCAGTGTTATCTTTTAATGATAGCTGCAGTAATGATCCAGATTTCTTCCATTTCTGCATAAACCACATTCCTTAAAATAAACAAAAATATTTTAGTATTTTTTATTACTTAGGGACAAGGTAGATAATTCTGTCTACAATTTTCATTTGCGACAAACTTCTCAATTTATCACATGTATTCATTTCAAGAAATTCAGTTGAAAATAACATGCAAAGGAGCTTCACAGATTTTGTTATTTGGGGCCAATCACAATTTCTCAATTAATAATCCCAAAGCACTTGAAGAGGTGAATTATTTCCATTTTATGATTATATAAATACATACATAATTTCATTAAAATTGATAGAGATGACTCACCCATATTGACCAGTCCACTAGTATTATACAATGTACCTAGATGTGGACCAGATAGAGAGAGAAAGGTATACATTCTAGGTAATAGATGTTCTAACTCTTTCCTAGCCAACGCTGACCGAATTATTATATTACCTAGAGAATGACCTACAAAACTGAAATCAGAAAACAAATATATTATATAATACTTGTACCCAAACCATTATCAGATAATTCTTGTTTAATCTATTTTTCAACCTAATAGTTCGTTTCATGTATATCAATTGAATTGAATCAGTTTACTGAAGAAAGAAGAAAGCAAGAAATGTTAAGTCCACTCTTCCAGACCATATAATGCTACAGTCTGAATGGTTCCGTTACTACGTATGCTCTGTGATATTGTGTGTTCATGATGACTTTGCCACTTTAGAACCATTTTGGAAAGTCAAAAGGAAAAATTGAAGATGCATAATCAAGTTTATAGGCTAGAAACCATTAAAAATTATTCCAGATGTATAACTATATTGAATTTTCCTACCTAATTTTAGAAGCTTGAAGTCCATATAGATCTATATAAGATAATAATTCTTCTACAAGTCTATCTGTCATTACATCAAAATTACTGAATGTATCCTGCTGAAATTACAATAAAAATAGTGCTCAATATATCAATTATAGAGTGATATAGAAATACCACTGTTAAAATAGTGCTCAATACATCAATTGTAGAGCGATATAGAAATACCACTGTTAAAATAGTGCTCAATACATCAATTGTAGAGCGATATAGAAATACCACTGTTAAAATAGTGCTCAATACATCAATTGTAGAGCGATATAGAAATACCACTGTTAAAATAGTGCTCAATACATCAATTGTACAGCGATATAGAAATACCACTGTTAAAATAGTACTCAATACATCAATTGTAGAGTGATACAGAAATACGTACACTGTTAAAATAGTGTTCAATACATCAATTGTAGAGCGATATTGAAATATCACTGTTAAAATAGTGCTCAATATATCAATTGTAGAGCGATATAGAAATATCACTGTTAAAATAGTGCTCAATACATCAATTGTAGAGCGATATAGAAATATCACTGTTAAAATAGTGTTCAATACATCAATTGTAGAGCGATACAGAAATGTCACTGTTAAAATAGTGTTCAAATACATCAATTGTAGAGCGATATAGAAATATCACTGTTAAAATAGTGTTCAATACATCAATTGTAGAGCGATACAGAAATGTCACTGTTAAAATAGTGTTCAATACATCAATTGTAGAGCAATATAGAAATACCACTGTTAAAATAGTGCTCAATACATCAATTGTAGAGCAATATAGAAATACCACTGTTAAAATAGTGCTCAATACATCAATTGTAGAGCGATATAGAAATATCACTGTTAAAAAAGTGTTCAATATATCAATTGTAGAGTGATATAGAAATACCACTGTTAAAATAGTGCTCAATATATCAATTGTAGAGCGATATAGAAATATTAAAACAGAACATAAAAATACATGTTGTTACTCAGATTTTCACGCTATGCCATCTTCAGACAACTGACCTGTACTCAGCCTGCTTATAACATCAAATAGATCAGTACCTAACAAATTTACATATTGACACAGACTACAGTAGTCCACCTGTTTCAAAATCACACAAATAAAACTTAACCACAAGATTTAGATAAACAATATCTATATTCTATTGAATATTTCAATGCCAAGTTAAGCTTAAAAAGAAAATACTTGTTTTCTAAGTTACCTGATTTCTCTCGGACATGAGAAATTCCAGTCTGTAACCAGGCAATGCCATTTCAACATAGGTTCTTACTAGTCTTAGGTCAGCACTATTACCTACAAAATATATATTAGAGTAAAATATTCTATAAACACCATCTCAGAGTCTCAGACATAAAATATGATTTTGGGGTAAAAGTTGTAATTGTAGAAACCTTTAATATTTAATAACTTTTGTTGGCTCGCTTATACGATATTCTGTGTTAAATTTGAAATAAAATAAATGAAAGATAATCCACTTACCATCCAGACCGTGTACACAAACTATCAGATGAATCCCTTCTCCATCATCACTCTCTGGAGTTATAAAATAGGGGGACACAGATGCTAGGGTGGGGCACTCACTGGAAAATACAAAATATACTTCAAAAATAAAATTTGATAAACATGGACAGAAAGTGTTGGTTTATATTTTACGCCTGTCTGTTCTCTGTGAGTTAATATAGAAAATTTCAGAAAACCTACCTGTAAATATGACCCTGATATTTTATCTGAAGTTTTAAATTTTCTCGTAAAGTAACAAAACTGAAATAAAAAATATTAAAAAAAAATCAAATAAATAACTCTAGAGACTTTTGATTTGTCCACTATGTCGAAATTGAAGTGGCAATAAATACTTAAAGATACCCATACAATAGCTCAGTCAGTAGCTAGTTGGATTGTCATCTGTGAGGTAATTATGTGCCTTGGGTTCAATCCTCCTGAAGGTAACAAAAATTCTGATGCCTGTGCTTCTGAGAGTGTCTGGTTTCATCCTCTAATAATACCTTTTTGTTAATTGGGGGAATATCAACCTTTTTGTTTAAAATCATACAACACAACCCTAAATAATACTTACTTAACAGTACTGAGTCCAACAGGAGAAACTAACTTTGGAGTTGCAGAATTTTCCATGAACCTGGATAGCTCAGGATTTGATGAAGAAGTAGACATAATGCGAGATAAACGGTCACTATTCAATGACGTCAATGATACACCACTGTCAATTTTACTTGATGCATCCAATGTGTCAATTTTTCTCACAATATCTGTGTCACTGGCTGCACGGTGACAACTCATCATACCCGAACCTACGCTCAGTTTTTCATTTGATGCTGAAGCTGCCTCTTTTTGAGATTTTGCATATTCTTCCTTTAATAATTCTAAAACAGTCATTTGTGGATTTCCACTAGAATCTGACGACACGGAAATTGTGTCAGCGTTTGGAAGGATTCCACTGTCTTTTGTTGAATCACCCTTAGATACGCATAGACTAATGGAGTCCAGCGATGCACCACGAGGAATTAAGGCACTTGGTTCAGATTTAGTTTCATTGTCCCTGGATTGTGAAGAGTCTTTGGCAGTAGTAGAGTTATCACCTTTAGTTTGTGATGATGATTGTGCAGATTGAGTAGTATCACAGTTAGGTTCTGCGGAACTTACAGTGTCATTGTTTTGATTAGCTGAGGCATAATGAGATTCTAAATAATCGTCATAGCCGTTGCAGACGTCATTTTCATCGTCATCACTGATGTCATCGTTTGTGTCACCTTTCATGTTGTTAACGTACGCTAAATCCCCATCATTCACACTTCCAGATCCTTCTTTCTGAAATTCTAATCGTTTTCGGATTTCTGGATCTGAATCAGTTTTGTCCGAATCCTGATCCACATTTTGGGCTTTCACTAGTTTAGCTTCAGACCCTGGAATAGGAGCAGTGTGAGCCCGATGTGCCCTGAATCGTGTCTTGACTTTTGAGGAATCTTGAGTCTCTGGCAAACTAGATTCAGAACCTCCAGAAAAATGGCGGGAACGATCGAGAAAGTCTGGCAAGGAACTGACACTAGTTCGACTCCAACAAGAACGAACTAACAAAGAGGACATTGAGGTGGCACTTAATGCTTTAGCAGATGGCACAGAGAGGTTGTCCACAGATGAGGCAGGAAGTGGGCTAAATGTTCCCAGTTCCACAGATCTGGAGTGATGAAAGTCATGGACAGGTTTTTTCCGGTAACCTAGCAACACAACACCTTTTTTATCGCTGCCACTAGATTGTTCTGCCTCAGAACAAGAATATGATGACGGTCTACGAAATGCATCAGGTTTGATATTCCTCATTATTTTTTTACGTTGAACTTTACGATGGAAGGCAGCGTCATCTTTCTCATCAGAAGATGATAATGACACGTCTTTTTTCTTTTTCTCTGTGACTGATGTCTGCGATTTTATTGGCTTCTTCTTTTCAGTGTTTTTTAATTTACTTACATCTACAATTTCAAATATAGAAATGATTAAAACCATAGTTTCGTGGGGACTCACTGGAGCACTAGCAGTCTGACTCAAAAATGGGGTCATAATCATTGCAATTTATTCTATTCTGAACCTGATGTTAGTTATGTTTTGAATCTCCCTCAGATGTGCACAAACATCTTTGTATTCAATTGATTGTAATGAATTCTTGATATCGATCCACACCAACACAAGCCTTACACAAAAAAGGAGTAACATTAGCATACTGCATCAAAAACATAGAATTTTCATGAAATTTGATAGGTCAGGCATGTTGTCAGAGACATCATAGCTTAAGTAACCGTTAGTGAGTTCATCCAGGTAAACTAATAGATACTCATTACAAAATCCACTAAAAACAATACAGCCCAGCAATAGTTCATGCATTATTAGATAGTAAATAAATAACTACAAACCTAAAGCATTCATCCAACTGTCATGATAGATATCTTCAAATATAATAGGTATAGTGTTACTATCTCCATCTATCTCTGGGCACTCTACATCTATTGGTGGCATATTCTGGAAATAATCTGATGCTGCTACTGTCTTCGCTATATCATCATGACCATGGATACTAATAAAATATAGATTATAAATATATAATGGTTAGATCAGGACTGAATACAGAGTAGAAATAATAAGAAGAATAATTGTGGTTCTGAATGCAAAGACATGATAGCCTAGACTTAATAGAAGATCCAAGCTGATTCTTTCACAGTAAATGAGGCAGGGATAAATTTTCCAGCCATTTCCAATGCTCAGGGCTTATTTCACAAGAACTGGACATGCTCTGAAAGGAGTTATTTTGTTTACCCTATAATCTGATCTATGGATCTTGGATCTCTCTAGGATAATTGTCTCACCTTGGATCATAACAAGAAAGACAAGTAATCTTGGGATATTCAAAGGTAAAGAATGCTTCAGCAAACCTCTTCACCTACAATACAGAATAAATATATTATCACTGACAACTTCAGTAAGATTAAGATTTTAACTAATTAACTATTGTAATGAAATGATCAAAAGCTGTGCCATATCATCAAAGAAGGCTTAACACAGCATTGTTGTCATAATTAAATTCTAAGTCGTCTGATGCCTTATCCTCACAAACTCAATTTGAGATGAATTTATAGTTTTTGTATTTCTTAATATCTGGGAGTGAAGTTTTTAGTATAAATACAACAGCATAAAACTAATGTTGTTTATAAATCTTACAATATCACAATTAGACTAAGAATCAAAGTCCAAAAACTAACTTGGACATGAACGTGCTTTAAGCAAGACAAGATATGCTCGTCTATCTAAGTTCATCAATTCAGCATATCATGCAAATAGTCTGAATTGCTAAAGTGGCTCATTGTTTATTCTGTATGTGATTCTTAAACTATAGAACTTCTATTAAAACTGTCTGAGTATATAATTCAAATTCTTCAAATCAATATCTAACACTTACTCTAGCTGTATGATGCTCTTGTGCTAAATAACTTTGTACATTTTCAGCCAATGTGACAGTTTCTAGAAACTTGGTCCATAGTATAACGTTCTCGGCACACAGCTGTGTTATATCTGTTATAACAGTCTGTATTAAATCATCTTCATCTTCTATACTCTACAGTATAAACAGGGTGTATGAATAACATATTTGATTGATAGATGAATGATTGAATGAATCAATGTATAAATGATAGCAAGAATGAATACATGAAAAAAATGTATGAATAAAAAAGAATGAATAAATGAATGAATAAATACATAAATGAATAATGAATAAATGAATGAACAAAGAAATTAATGAAAAAAAGAATAAATGTGAATGAATGAATAAATGAATGAATAACTGAAAATAATGAAGAACCACACCAAATATATAAAACCTAAATAATAAATGATGTTAAGCAAGGATAAGAACAAATTTACCTGTAAATTAGTTAAAACTTTTTTCAATCGAACATGACAATCTTTAATATCTGAAGAAAAAAAAGAAAAATATGGTTCAATTATGATTTAAGATGTAATAAATAGAATACTCCCTTCCCCTTAATACAAGGTAATTTTAGTTTAATTTTGTGGTAATTTAGCAAGGAAGATAAATCACCTAGTTTAGTTTTATTTTGTGGTAATTTAGCAAGGAAGATAATTCACCTAGTTTAGTTTTATTTTGTGGTAATTTAGCAAGGTAGGTAACCCACCTAAGTTTAGTTTTATTTTGTGATGATTTAGCAAGGTCAGTAACTCACATAGTTTAGTTTTATTTTGTGGTAATTTAGCAAGGTAGATAACTCACCTAGTTTTAGTTTAATTTTGTGATGATTTATTTTGTGGTAATTTAGCAAGGAAGATAATTCACCTAGTTTAGTTTTATTTTGTGGTAATTTAGCAAGGAAGATAATTCACCTAGTTTAGTTTTATTTTGTGGTAATTTAGCAAGGTAGGTAACCCACCTAAGTTTAGATTTATTTTGTGATGATTTAGCAAGGTCAGTAACTCACATAGTTTAGTTTTATTTTGTGGTAATTTAGCAAGGAAGATAACTCACCTAGTTTAGTTTTATTTTGTGGTAATTTAGCAAAGTAGATAACTCACCTAGTTTAGTTTTATTTTGTGGTAATTTAGCAAAGTAGATAACTCACCTAGTTTAGCTTTGTTTTGTGGTAATTTAAGTTTTATTTTGTGGTAATTTAGCAAGGTAGATAACTCACCAAGGTAAATAACTCACCTAGTTTAGTTTTATTTTGTGGTAATTTTGTGAGGTAGAATTGATAAGTTGACTGTAAAGATTCGTAGGCTGATAATAATATTTTACAGATTAATTTGTGAACATCGTTAGCTTGATTTAATCTCAGGATCTGAGACGTGGTGTTAGTGGTAGGTACCTGAAAATAATATATATCAAATATATAATACAACTATAATTTAGTGGAAGGAACACTTGGCTGAATCTTGAAGACACTGACTGTTTGAGATGTGATGAAGAATGATGTAATGTTTCTATATTATAAATTTGATGAACATGAAAGATGTCAACATGGCAATGATAATGATGATGTTGCAGTCTTGGGCAGATGCAAGCTTGTCTTTTAAAAAAAATTTGGTTGTCCTGGTACAAATTATCTAAGCTTATACAATGAATCAGGAAAGCTTACAAAGAGAACTTACTGATGTTTGTGGTCTAGGTCCAAAATAAACTGTTTCTAGGGTTGACTGGTCTGGTGGTTTATTAGCCCAAGCTGTTTTAGCTGGTCTAGGCATACTGCAAAATAAATATAATACCATTACAGCAAGACAGACATTCATCAAATCATAAAGACTTGCTTCCTTCTCAGATAGTAAGTAGCTCCTTCATCTTGTAAGGAGATTTTAACTTAATCTATTCAAGTAAGGCTGATTCAGAGTTATTTGAGAGGTTAGTAGAAAACACGGAGGAAATAAATTTATAGGGTGTGGGGGAGCAATGTAGCTGTGGGGAAAGGAAAGGAGGCTAGAAGACTGGGTGGGGGGAGACTAAACTTACTTTAAGTAGGGTTGATGTAGAGCTATTAAACAACCATGTATCGTAACCTCTATACATGCTAGATGAAAATAGTCAAATAAAACTGGTAGATGATGATGGAGGCCGTTTACAGGATTAAAATGTAGCTGCAGTATTCTTTCACTCACCATCTCCATTTTCTCTAGTAGTGTAGATCTGAAATTACAATAACAAAATATTCTTATTAAAATAGTGCTCAATCCATCCTGTTACTCATATAGTGCTCAATACATCATGTTACTAAAATAGTGCTCAATACATCATGTTACTAATATAGTGCTCAATCCATCATGTTACTAGTATAGTGCTCAATACATCATGTTACTAATATAGTGCTCAATACATCATGTTACTAGTATAGTGCTCAATACATCATGTTACTAATATAGTGCTCAATACATCATGTTACTAATATAGTGCTCAAAACATCATGTTACTAGTATAGTGCTCAATACATCATGTTACTAATATAGTGCTCAATACATCATGTTACTAGTATAGTGCTCAATACATCATGTTACTAATATAGTGCTCAAAACATCATGTTACTAATATAGTGCTCAATACATCATGTTACTAATATAGTGCTCAATCCATCATGTTACTAAAATAGTTCTCAATACATCATGTTACTAATATAGTGCTCAATACATCATGTTACTAGTATAGTGCTCAATACATCATGTTACTAATATAGTGCTCAAAACATCATGTTACTAATATAGTGCTCAATACATCATGTTACTAGTATAGTGCTCAATACATCATGTTACTAATATAGTGCTCAATCCATCATGTTACTAAAATAGTTCTCAATACATCATGTTACTAGTATAGTGCTCAATACATCATGTTACTAGTATAGTGCTCAATACATC